GAGCCGGCTTCGGTGCCGCCTCACGAGTGGCCGGATAACATCACAAAGTGGCCGGTAAAATCCTCCTCAAGCGTTTCCCCCCGACACAAACAGAGCAGTGTTATTTCGTTTCACGAAAAAAGCTTCTTGGTAAAAAACAAAAAAAAGTTCATCTGTATTGCTGGTTTTATAAATAAATAAACTTTAATTCTCCGGTTTTTTTCCTTCTTTCAGATTTGCACAAAAGTGGCCCTGGGAAACTTCACTAGTTTCCCACACATGGATTGCGACGTCACTGGGCACCCATGCTGCATTGGTACCAAAGGACGGTCAGCAATGCATTCAGCTCTCAATTTCAGTCATTGTCTTCTGCCCTTCGTGTGGCATTAAAAAAACACCCAACAGAGCACTGCAACCGTATGCAAAGATTCGCAATCCATTCGATGTCATCACGAGTTCCTCCATGTATAACATCTGTATCGCCTGTCTAAGTATATGACGGGCAAGTACGTTGGTTGGGATGAACGGTTTGGACTTCGGCCCTGCTGGAGGCCACCATTTCATTTACCGTTGTTGGAACGTGATTAAGCGCAGCCTTCAATTGCAGGCTAAAGCCAGCCAATTCCTGGGGGGGGGGGGGGGGGGGTCAATTAATAGATATACTGCTCAGTAATGTCCTTGGCTCCTGTTCTTGCAACCGTACACATTGAGGCTCATCTTAAAATCGTCAGATTTGTAAACTCGCCACACCCACAATTTGTACCACACCGACAATGTGCCATTTACTATGCATTAATCAAATCGCAATAATTTTGCATTCTTGGATACAGATGTGAAATTACATCAAGGGAGTACTGCGACTTCATGAACGGCTACTTTCATGAAAAAGCAGCCTTGTGCTCACAGGTACCAAGCAAAACACTGCAATGATGTACCATCATCCATACTACATGAACAATGCAAGTTAATAAGTAGCCGCTGGGTTTTTCGGGTGGTACCTTGCATTGTGTGGCAACGTCTGACGTTTTACTCCACTTGCTGGGAGGCAACTTCAGTTACTAAAAGATCAGACTGGCTCGACAGCTTTACTCGCTCCGATTAGCGCAACCGCGCCCAGAGCACATCAAGGTTGATAAAGTCGTTTCTGGAGCTCCCCAGCTGATAAGGTAAAACGCCGGGTATACCAAACACCACACCGTACAACCCGAAAAGCCATCGGAGACCACATCAACAGAAACGTACGCAGCAATGTGAATTAATCATCGCTCCGTGGGTGGCACGGCACACACGCCTGCCTGTGGTCCCAGGTGTACTGCATGCACGATGTGTGTGGCTTGCTGCCCTTCCTCAACCCGGAGGTGCCTGATCAGTTCTACCGCTTGTGGCTGTCGCTCTTCCTACATGCTGGGTGAGCTGGAATGCCCTGCGCGCACACACCACACATCAATGAGCATAACGATGACGTGAACTCCGGTCATCCTCGCAGCAGTGACTTTTGGCTTGCCATCGAAGAAAGACCGTCACTGCACACGTTTTTACATGTGCTTCTGCGGCCGTCTAGAACGCTCTTCCTTCCGATATTTTGAAACCACTGGGAGCTATGCACATGTAAATCTGGATTGAAAGCGCATTTATTTAGAACCGCTTTGTGTTTATAGTTTGTTGTCCTTCCCCGCTCACCTCCGATTAGCACGGTTGGTTATGTACAGTGCAAAAGAAGAAGTTCATACATACACAATATAGCTCATCTGCTGCTGGATTAAGGCCAGAAAACAACTGTTGTGCTATGGACATGCGGTGTGCGAGTGCCTAGCTGCGTGCATGGAGCAGTCACGTGGTGGCCGTCGCATCTCTGGGCCACTTGCAGCATGCCAACTCGCACATGCTACAGCCCAAACGTGTACACCACTAATCCACCTCCAACAAATTCCCCCGCTGACGCAAGCAATAGAGAGCTTGATTTTACGTCGTTGCCACGAGGGGGGTCCGTTCAAGGGGCCAATCCAAAACCTGACAAAGACCCACCGGTATAGCCAACACAACATGTTGGGGTAAGTGCTGTTAGCTCGCATCTATGAAGTCCGGCATGGGGGGGGGGGGGGGTGATGGCAATGTTTACACCTCACCAGGTACTCATGAGGCAGCGTTGGTCTAGGCGAGGGCCAGGACCAGTTTGAATAGTCGCCCGAGATGGTGGCCGTGAGTGGGAATCTGAAGTCAGCTTACTGCATTTTTAGCGAAACCATGCCACCGCTCTGGAACCATCACCACCACGCAAAAAAAATCACAAAAACCACACAAGGATGTAACGCGAGCACTCGGCGATGCGAAATAACAAACGGGAATTGGTGACGCCAACTCGTTTCTTGCCATGCGTTGTGACCTTCCCCGTGCAGGATACTGCACTGCCTGCTCTCGGTCTGCTTCCAAATGACCGTCTTACGGGACCTCGAGAAGCTGGCGGGGTGGCTGCGAATATCCATCATCTACCTCCTCAGTGGAATCACCGGCAGCTTGGCCTCGGCCATTTTCCTGCCATACAGAGCCGAGGTACGGAACCACGTCGCACGCGCGTGCGCAAAAAAAAAATATTTAAAAAGGAACGTTCACAGACCAGGCGATGACCGTTTGAAATAGTGCCATAGGCCGCAGACAATAACGCCGCGTTGTGATCAATGTGTACTTCCTAAGAGAAAGGACAATAATGAACGTGACAATGACAAACAATAAAGTGAGCTGTAGTAACAAATCAAAGGATGGATTGCAGCCATTATAGATTCTTAACATTAGCACCATAGGGAAGCCTTTCAGCATTAAATATGTTAAGACGATGGCTATACCCATTTATATACTGCTGGGTGTACAGAGGGAGTGATGGGCACACGATTTCATAATACGTGTCATTGTTTTAACTGCTGCTCCAGCTCAAATTGAACCATTGGCCCCACGATAGACAGCACCGTGCTTGCCGACCCTTGTGCCATGGGGCAGCAGTGTTCAGCAAGTGTAGGAGGAAGGGGGTGCGGTCTGTACAAAGAACACGTCTCACCCACCAGACTTCTTGCAGGTGGGACCAGCTGGCTCGCAGTTCGGAATCCTGGCGTGCCTCTTCGTGGAGCTCCTGCAGAGCTGGCAGGTGCTGGCACGGCCGTGGCGGGCGCTGGCCAAGCTCCTGGGCATCGTCCTGTTCCTCTTCGCTTTCGGCATGCTGCCCTGGGTCGACAACTTTGCGCACTTCTTTGGCTTCCTCGGCGGGCTCATGCTGTCCTTCGCCTTCCTGCCCTACGTGACGTTTGGCCGGCTGGACAAGTGCCGCAAGCGTCTCCAGATCATGGCGTCGTCGCTGGTGTTCGTGGGCCTCTCGGCCGCCCTGGTGGTGTGGTTCTACGTCTACCCCATCACCTGTTCCTGGTGCGAATACCTCACCTGCATTCCCTTCACGGAAGAGTTCTGTGAAAAATACGACCTGGACCCAAATCTTCACGGGGTGTAAAATGTTACACCCATTTGCACATTCTTTAAAAGCGGCATTTAAATAAATGAAATGACTTAAGCTGAACCCAAAAAAAGTTTTATAAACCACACATGAAGGGCTTTGGATAGCATCTGTCCATGCCTAAAGCTGGTGCTGCTTCTGTTCAAAATACTTGAATGTGAAACTATGTTCCATCAATAACACAACAAGTGTTTAGTCGAAGAGGATTTGCAGCCTTAGAACCGTGCCAAAAACAGATTTTGCCAGATTGCAATCGACCTAAAAAATACCACCCTTCTGCTTGGCTGTAAAGACTGCCTTTCCGAAAACAAACCCAAACCTCGTTATAGGACTGCATTTTTTAGCACAACAGAACGCTCAAGTTGTTAGTCAGATCCGATTCCAGCATGCCTCTTGAATGTGAAAGACAATCGAAGCCCCCCCTCCCCACTATTGACGTTGCAAACCAAATGAACCGCATACCAAGGCAGAATCATTAACCCCTTTGGGGCGACAAAGGTCAATGGCATGGATCGATGGATTTTATCATTATGCAGATTAAGACAGAGCTGGCATCTGGGATAATTCATCCAGAATGCACCCATCACACCTGGGCCAGTAACGTAGGATAGTACATGCCTTGCGGCAAGTGGCCCCAGCAGCATGGATAAATATGAATGGTTGGCGTTTCGTTTCTCGAGTCCTTCAGCATTTCATAACGTAATGGAGTATTTACTGCACAATTTCGAATATTCGGCTTAACCAAAACCAAGGAGATCCAAAACTGCCACCTGCTGGTTATACAGTAGGTCATCGTGAAGCACAATCGCATTCGGCAGATCAACCCTCAGTGCGCGGTTTTGGGTTTCCACATCGCGTTCGGCATGTCCGACGTTCTGCACCACGTGCCCAGAGGAGGAGCGTCCTCAGGAACTGTACTGTGCCGTCGTGGGGATACCGTGAACGTCAACCCTTGGAAAACCCCGTTGGGAAGAGCTGCAACAGCACAACTGCGACAACGTACAAGGGGGCTCTTGTTTGACCGTTTGCCGGTGGAAAATATAAAGTCACCTGCGGTCACAGCGTATGGCGACCTGCACATTGCAAACGGTTGGGTTTTTGTTACCGAGTAATTGTTTTAATGCTGTAAATGGAATTGAATTCCAAAATGACAATGTAATGTTTGTGCAAACCTTTAGCTTTATATAGTGCCTTGCTGCAAAACCCACATTTTAGGGACCAATTGAGAAGCCCCTATGAAAGCCTTATTTAATTTTATCTGCCACTATTTTACACAATGTGGAATTTTTGTAAGACGACCTTTGAACCTGTAGTGTTTTAGCTACGTAAAATGGCACACCAAGGGAGATAAGCAGCAGTGTTGAAATGCAATCAATTTTTTTTAAAAATGCATTGCTTATTTATTTATGTTACAATCATTAAAATGCTGTATTGCAAGAAATCCCGATGTGATTTTTTGGTGTTCATAATTTACAGCAAAAGTCTGACGTTTCAGCCCACTGGACCTTCGGTTGAGGTTTATTAGTCTGCGCACACACTGGGTTCCTTTGAATTGACCAGCGTCCATGGACAGAAACATCACCGTAGGCACACTGCTCTGGTACAAAAGATCACGTGTACACAAAGCGGAGTTTTAGAGCAATTTGGCAGCACCAGAAATCAAACACAACCACTCTGAAATGAAAGGCTTCAAGCGTACACCTCTTCATGCCCCTCATTTTATTTTCTCATGCACAGGAAAAAAATACGAGCAGAGTTCAACTTAATCACGCACACAGCAAGCATGAGCAGAGCGGTGACACACGCAGACACAGCCATCAAAACGGGCGTGCTGAAGTGCGCCATCCCTGGAGAGAGAGAAATAATTAATGATACTTGTGTGTGCTTGGTGATGTAGAAGCACAAACAACAAGCACTTCACAATTCATCAGTAATCAATGCACACCCCCCCCACCCAAAAAAAAGATGGCAACATTTCTGGCAATGGTCCCGTTTGGGCAACAGTCTTTGGTAGCAGATGACCTCTGCTTGCTTTGAACGGTCTGTCTTAAGCTCTTATATTCTCAAATAAAACACCTTTCGGGGATTGTTATTGGATGGAGTTTTTGGAACGAGATAATTCAGCCGAAAATGGAAATGCCAGCGGGTGGCCCCATGCCTTCGCATCTGCAACTCCCATGGGTGAAATGCACCCCCCATAAATTGTCAACTTAAGTCCCTTCCACTATTTAAGTCCCATTTAAAAATCAAACTTCTTATACTCCGGGCCTTTAAAGAGTCGACTTTTGTATGGGTGTGCTGCTGCGCGTCTCACGAGGATCCATGTTTTTCCCTAAAAGAATATCATGCCGTTATGGTGTACAGCATTGAGACGCAGTTCGCGTGAATGACAACGCCTATTAAAACCCCAATATTGTAAAAAAAGGTGCAATGACAAGAAGAACGACTATGCGACGTTGTTTTACACACTACGAATGGAAACCAGAGTCAAGACCCCAGCAAACGACGACGACTCGCCTTCCAGCGCAGGAGTCTCATCACGCCACCTCACTAGGGGGCCACGGGTGAGCAGGTAGACCGGCGACGACACAGACGAGATGCTCCTGCTGCTGCTGCTCCTCCGTCGCGGCTGCTGCGCGCAGCCCCTCCAGCACCTCGAGTCGAGCTCCGTTGTCTTGCACACCAACATGTAGCAGTGGACGTAGAACTTCAGTGCGCAGGAGGGGGGGCGGTGGAGACGGCGGGGGAGGATTAGCGGCGATGTACACACGAGGAGAGGGTGTAACGATGCGCCAAGTCACTCAATGTAAACCAACATGCATCCTTAAGCCCTGGTACCATGCATTAGAAGTGTGTGTGTGTGCAGGAGAGTCATACGCTGAAGGTAGTTGATGTAAATAGGAACATTCATCCGTCTACTACCTTGAGGTGCCACGTTTCAGAAACTTCTCATGTAAGTGTTTAAAATGAGCGGCAAAGCATGGGGAAAGAGACGTGTTCTTGGAACTAAATTGAGAGTAGCAAGAGGAACGCATGGTATTGGATAACACATGAGAGTTAAATATGCTCGTCAGCCAGCATTGGGTCGACGGTAATCAACATTTTAAAAAGGCATGCAACACGAATCGTGACAAGTCTTATTAATTGCCGGCGTGGGGAGGGAGGTGGCAAAAAGGTAGTTTAATTCCTCTTACTTGGGACTGACAAACCCCCATTAGCTAAGAATTAACGTAGATTTTTCAAACGGTATAATGTACGTGTATTCTATAAAACGGTGGGATTGAATTACGCAAGTTAAATTTAAATAGTGAAGGTGATTTCCCAAACCACTGCAGTTGATATGAAAAATGGGGCTCCGTGTATGAAGTGGCAATTAGATTTCTGTTCATAACACAAAACCATTGTCAAATAGCCATTGGTTCCACAGGAAGGAGACTCAAACTTAGCCTTATTATATCCAAGTTGAGCAAAATATTTTCTCTACTAAAGAGTTGACGTGCGTCACGATTAATGCATTGTTTCGTCGCCTTCAAGTGACATCCAATAGGGTGGTCACGTGCTGCTTATTTTGGCTTAAACCCGACCTCACCGTGAACACACTTGGGTCAAAACAAAGCACACCACCGACCCCAACTGCGCGACGCAAACTTTTTTGGAGGGAGATTCATCCGTTATGGCACAGATGATTTTTTCCCCATTATACATTTCAACATTTTTAATCTTTAAAGTGCCATTCGTAGTGCAGACCTAGCAAGGTAACGCTCCACATTGCGACGATCTAGCAATGACCAGTTGCGTTGGCCAGGTACACACGTTATGGCCTGGTAAAGAAAGCCAATCGCATCCCACACCAATAGAACTCACGTGTTGCGCGTTTGCCATTGCGAAGGAAAAAGCCTTGAAACTGAAGCGCCGCTTTGTCCGGCTGGCCGTGTGGTTGTGGACGTCCGCGTTGAGGCACCTGGGGGTCGAGATTTAAAAAAGAAAAACCACGTCCATGCATTGCAGGGGAATCAGGCTCGTCAATTGCGGCGCAGCTTAAGGAGATTTTAAAACGTCCCGAAAGCTCTAAGCAGTTCCTATGAAATGGAATGCAGGACAGTTCCAGCAGTGGTGCCGGCCACATCAACTGCTTGTAATAAATAAATAATTCGCAGGGGCCGCCTCTTGCCGTCGTGCAGCGCCCGATGCGTGTTGGCGTTGTGCCACACGCGCGATGATCGGCGGCATCATGTCTGACGTCATCACTCCGTTTGCTAGGAGCCTCAGAATTTTGCGTAAAACGGTCAGAAAAATCACGCCCGAGATACGCAGAATAATCAAAAGACGTTATTTTAAATCTTGGCACAAGCCGAAAGAAATTATTCATGCACGATAGCTGGTAGAATAGGACAGGTATTGGACCCAACTGACATTTACCATTATTACCACCTGGAAACTCCAAGTTGGGTTACTTAACAAATTCCATGTGTATCAATTTCAAACCAGCCAGGCGGTGGCAAGCCGCATTTTTACAGTGGCGATCGATCGCCAAGGAGCCAAAACAACCCAACCTGACCAGCACCGGTGAAGCACGTCAAACAATCCGAGATGGGCGAAGTGGAAAGGCATTCATCTAGCAGCGGATCGACGGAGGGTCATCACCATCGTACAGATTAATATGCTGGTGTGACTGCCTGTGCGACGTAGAGTCGGCAGGTTCAGTCTCCCAAGCATGGCAGTTGAAACAGTGGGCACGCGTCTTCCTATGCACCCAGCGGATAGACGCATCTGGAGGTTGCGTTCAGTGTGTGTATGTCGAACGTCTTTGGCACTGTACGTAGTCAACCATGCTAAATCATGTGGGGGGGGGGGGGGGGGGGGGCAAATAAACAAACATTTAAATAAAGTAGTCTCGATCTAGATGATTTAAAAGGGCACAGCTCTAGTGGCTTCCTAATAGAATCCGAAGAGCATGCCAGACCGGCTACAGACGCTCCTATTGAAAGTGCACACGATGCGGTGACCAGCATCTTTGTTCGACAGCCAGCTAAACAGCCCGCTGCTGCGAGGACGGGGCAAAAAACGTCTGGCCAATTTTGAAGGGGTAGACGACTATACCCCACAAAGGGTCTCTCCATCGAGCACCTTCGAGTGAAGGGGCTCCTCACTCCTGCCATCAGCGAGAAGCCAGGCACAATTCCAGGGGGGGGGGGGGGGGGGCTACAACTTTTACAGCTTAAAAAAAAAAGTGCGTGCAAAAAAAACTAAATTTACAACTCACCCTTCAGAGATGAGGTAGTGCTTTACCGAGTCCTGGGAGCTGCTGGTGGGTGTAGCGTAGCAGTCTATAGTGAAAAGCACAAGGTCAAGGCCGCTTTTGATCGACACCTGAAGGTACAAGTATTGGCCCAGCGACAAGCTCAGTGGGTACTGGCTCGGAGAAAAAGCCTCCGTAAACTGTGCATCCGTGTAGAAATCCATCTTCAGATCCAGGCTTGCATAAGCGATCTGTTCCAAGGACATTTTAGACCAATTCGCCTTGAAGACACCTTGACTCAGCAACTTGAACCTTGGAATTTTGCATCTGCAAGAAAAAAAAGCCACTCAATTTGGATTTTAATCAGTCTTATATTAAACCCCAACCCCACCTGTGACGAGGTGAACGCTCACATTGCGTTGACGAGGATGCTGATGTAGTCGTATGTCACGACCATGCTGCTATCGGCAGTCACAAGGGTTACAGTCTGTGTGAACACAAAGTCACTTTCCTTTTCCTGCAAAAGAAAAAAGTGAAAAACGAATGCCACCGATCTCATTGCAAGCAAAAATGGAAATTCCAGCCCAAACGAAGATTATGCCAAGGGGAAAAAAATGTCAAACATACGTGGCAGAATGGACACGCCTAGGTTCAATCCTGCTTGGCCAGAGTAGATGCAGGAAAAAAATAACCAATCGCAAAGAGGTCCACGAGATGCCCAGTGGGCGAGTTAATCGTTGTTCGTCCTATGTGGCTTGGTGCCTCGCAGTGGCCAGATGACTCAAGATGTCAGGTAGAGCACAGGGGCAGCATTGCCAATTACCCTGGGGTTCGAGGCACCTTGGTTTAAGAGGGGTGGTTCAAGTGTAGTAAGTGAACAGGTCTCAGCCTTTAAGGGCCACAAAAAATCCAATAGAATGGGGGATTTGGTTTTGCGTGTATTTTTTACAGAAGTTTCAGAACGTGCACTGGAAGTAGTTCACGTTGTATTTGTTCTCCACAAAAAGGGATTGTGGCGCTAAAACAATCCATCTTGGTCTCTTGACAAAGCAGGTTGCAGTGGCACAAACTGGGAAAATAGAAAATTCAAAACATTTGCTACCACCACGAGCAATATCATTTTACTTTTGGCGGAGCACCACTAAAGGAAAAGCCCAGGCAAATGGATCGTTGACCAAGGAGAAAATCTGACAAATCGAACAGCATGTCCATTACGAGCACTCCGTGAGGAGCACATGCCCCAATTGGTCAAAACGCGGCCGAGGGAATCCTCCCAACGCGCAAACCTCAAAGTCGGTCCCGCAAGCCGCGAGCGAGACGTTGAACACGACGAACTTCCCGTCGTCCCGCAGCGCACAGCCCTCGGCCTGCGTGCGCAGCCTGAGCGAAGAGGCGCCGAGTCCCAGGAGGACGTCCTTCGGGATCCTGGCGACCATGTGCTCATCGTGGCACTCCACCTCCATGCGGCCGTCTGGGGAGGGGCGGGAGAATCACGCACGTGCACCACGCACTACCCCCCCCCCACGTGCACCACGTGCTCCTCCCCCCACGTGCACCACGTGCACCCCCCCCCCCCCCCCACGTGCACCACGCACTACCCCCCCCCCCCCCACGTGCACCACGTGCTCCTCCCCCCACGTGCACCCCCCCCCCCCCCCCCACGTGCACCACGTGCTCCTCCCCGCACGTGCACCACGCACTACCCCCCCCCCCCACGTGCACCACGCACCCCCCCCCCCCCCCCCCCCCCCCCCCCCACGTGCCAGCGATCGTTTCCAGGGTTTTTTTTGTTTGCAATCTCCGAATAGCAGTACACACTCCACGTGGGCGCTACAAAGGGAGGCGTCATTGGTATTAAGACGAAGAAGTTTATATTTACAAGGCGGAAGCGGCAACAAAAGTCCCGGATGATCTTTAGAAGACTGGCAGCAGCACAAGTTAAGGGCAGCCAAAAAACGCACAAGCATGACAAATGTGCATACGAAGGGAAGGAGAAGAGATGCATCATCTTTGTCAAACATTATATTATTAGGGCTGAATTTAAGCAAAAGCGAAAACTAAAATTTTATATTGACTTTGTTAATTTATTGGAGCTGGTTGTGAAGGCATCAAACGACACTTGGTTTTCACAATTGGCGACCCGCAGGTCACAAAACACCTCCACAGCTATAGGAATGTGAAATTACCACCAGCACCGGGCCCAGGGCTGTGGTACAGCACGTACTGCTGCCCCTCAATGCTCATTTGAGCAGGAAACCGACTCGATGCATAGCACGCAGTGGACTTGCCCTGCTCGCATCGGTAAGCCCCATCAGAGAGTCTGCACTGTGATGCAACACAGGCGGTGGGTGCGCTGGTCAGAGTCCGGTTTCGCTGGCACGTGTAGAGCAGAGAGCAGTTGGAGTTGTAAAACTCCGCGTTTATCTGTTCACGGAGGCAGTCAACGCAACAAGGGTAACATTGTAAACAAACTCCAAAGTTGACAATTTTTAAAATAACGTGATTTTAAAAGTGCAGCGATATACCAGTTAAATGCTTGGGAAACAATTGCACGAGGAACTTTGGAAAATAATGCTACATCTCGAAGTCTCGAAGTCTTTAGACGCGGCACACATTGCATTGCGATGTTTTTCAAGAGCACAAATTTGGCACGCGTGAATAAAAAAAAAACAGCACGTGGGAGATAAACCCACGCACACAAAATACCATCTCCGCAGTGAAAGATTCATGAGGAAAACGCGACAATCTCCTGGCTACACCACACTGCAAATACTAGCACCGGATCAAACTCGCTTATAGCTTGGTTAAATCTAAACGAGACTGGTCCACATGGCAAAAAAAGCCTCGGCCAAGACCTAAACAAACACGAGGTTCAAAAATGCACCGAGTGGCCTCACGTTGCATTAGTTCCACTCCGTGGGGGTAAATTCCTAGAGGTTCAGAAATTGACAGTTTAGATGTAGAACTTCTTTTGCACCGTACGTAGCCAACAGTGCTAAAATTGGTGATGCGGAGGTAGTAGTAGCAGCAGTAGTAGTGTCCCCCCCCCCCACCCGGTTAACAAGAGCAGCGTCCACCACGTTTGTTCAGGAGTCGCCGCGCACCGGGTGATAGAAGAAGCCCCCGCCGCTTCCCTCCTCGACACAGCCGCAGTCCTCCTGCGCCACACATTCGCCGTCGTGCTTGAAGTAGCCCACGTGGCACTGGCAGCCCTCGACGCAGGGCCAGTCGCAGACCACCTCCTCGTCAGCCGTGGCGCACGAGGGGGGACACATCCGGGCGCACAGCGTGTAATGGCTGTGGGGCGGGCACGCAAGCTCTGCAAACGGCGGAACACAACACGCAGAATGTTGGAAGGACAAAACGCCCCGTGAAAAACCTCCAGGGTCCTCAAGTGTACAAGCTGCCATCGTCTGGCGTGCCCCATGATAGAGCTTACCGCACCCTACATTTTTTAAGAACTCGCCCCCAACTTCGGATTTGGACGAGTTAGACCGCTGCCGTCTAAAGCACCGTTATTACCATTCCGTTTGTTTGCTTGTCCTTCCCCAGCACCTCCGAGACGCACAATTGGCTACGTACGGTGCAAAAGAAGTTCATACATACCACGATGTGAACTTAACTCTCACCACGTAAGACTCACCAAGTGCTTTTCAAAAGCAACAAGTGATAGCTCAAGTGGCGTATCGGCATCGCGTGTAAATTCGGAGCAGCCGAACTCTTAACGCACGTTGATTGTACACGGAGGAAAAAACCGGGGAGCAAAAATCCACATGACCAAGGGGAGAACATGCAAATGTCATATATACACAACATTTTCCGACATGCATACAGCAGCAGGCGTCAGCGTCGGGATCAAGCCCCACGACCCCCAACAAATCGGTGCGTCGCCGCTCACCGCAACGAGCGGCCGACCGCCACTCGCCGACGTATACGGACACCTCGCGACACAGCGCGTGGTAGTCGTGCAGCAGGGCGCACGCCGACGTGGGCTCGTGGCGGCCCGGCAGAGCCGCGTCGGCCACACAGCTCTGGAACCACCAGGCGGGGGAGCGCACCGCGTGGCAGGCGGCGAACGGCCCCGTCGGGTTGGACAGCACCCAGCAGGCCCCGCTGCTCGCGGCCGGAGCCGCCCACTGGAGGGGCGTCGCGCCCAACGCCGCAGAGTCCCTCAGATCACAGCTGCAACAACAGTCACCACGTGGTAGGGCACCTCCCAACCCCCGTCACCACGTGGTAGGACACCCCCCCCCCCCCTCCAATAGTCACCACGTGGTAGGGCCCGCCAACATTTCCAAAGTGCAATTGTCTTGTCCACAATGCAGCCTTACATGGATACGCAACCAAAAAAATATCCCACAAGATCTGAATAGAAACTATAAATATCATAAATCAAAAAGCAGCACTTACTTGGAATTATTCGAAGGAGCGGCCCAGCTGTTGGCAAACTCCACCACATCGCCGAAATCGTCCTCCCTCCCATTGTTGTTGCCGCACAAACCACCGGTGCGGTTGTTCAGAGAGAGCACCTCTATCATGGCCGTGCCCCAGCCGTCATACCTCACCAGGTACGGCTCCGCGACGCTGAACAAGAGCACGTGCCCAGCGCTCTCCAAGGCGACAAACGACGCGGTGGCCACAGGGAGGTTCCTTCGAATGCCGTCAACCTGCCAAAGTAAAACAAAAAAAAAATTACACAAACTTCGCGTGCAGGTTCACTCCACAGGATGGATGTGGCAGCCAACGACAAACAAGCTTGCAAGCTGGATCAAGGCATCCCTTCATTTGTTCTTCTCAGGATAATGAGAATAGAAGCAGAATAACAAGCAGTTCTTGACACAAGCACAACACGCTTACCTGACATTGGTGGGGAGGGAATTCTGACACAAGTCATTCCGGATACAAGCACAGGACATCTTGCCTCACAGGGGGTTGTGCTTGTAGTGCTTATAGCTCCAGCGTCTACTGCGCTGTCAGTCAGCAAAATTGTTACGAGCAAAGGAAATTGCACGGAAACACGGCAATCGATCTATAGACATCCCAATACAGGGGGAAGACATTTAAAGCATCCACATCTTTGTCAACAATCTCAATGCACTTACCAGACAATGTGAACACTGGCTATGGTACAGAGGCCATCACTTGCACGGAAATTCAAGGTCATAAGAGGTCAGGAAGGAGGTGGGGGTAACTATAACGCCACAAAAGATCCTCCAATGTTTCATATTTTGGCAAAATCTTGGCAGTGGAAGTGGAAAACACGTTACCCTTCACATTTTTGTACTAATTGCAAACAAAATACATTTTGCCTAATAGCTTTTTGGGAGGTTAGATTGCATGAATGTCGTTAAACCCGCCACAGCCAATTAGCAAGGTTTGTCACGTAACCAGCACATGTCAATTCATTACTAGTACACACCGGTGTGTTGGAGAGCAAATCCACAACATTGACAATGTTGCAGTTGGTTTCTCCGGTCAGGAGGGGGTTCTCATCTCAGTCACGGAGTGCTGGAGGGGGGATTCGGGTGCCAAGGGTGCCGACTCCAAACCTGACAGCAGCAAGGATTCCACGGGAATCTTTTGGGCATGGAGCCACGAATCCAATATAGATGGGTCGGGTTAAGCTAGATTACCAGTCAATACAGCAAATGCTCACAGGATTTGCATTTAAGGCTCATCATTGTTCAAAGAGGCTTAAGAGTGGACAACGCGTGATAAATCATTGACGATTTAGATTCTAAACGAGCAATGTGTTGAGTGCGAATTTTGGGTGGGTGTTAACTGAACACCTTCACGGAGCGGTGGAGGGGAGATTGTCGAGGTTAACAGCTTTGGGCTCTCATGAAAAGGGGTGTCTCCACGTTTCGTAAAAAAAAAGTTAATTTTAGCTTTGCTAGGTCAAATGTTGTTTGAACATCCAATTTGGTAGCAGAATTCTCAATAGGCTACCTTAAGTAGCAAGGTCGACAGGAATCCAATCAGAGTAATTTGGGCCCGAAAGACTGGGTTTCTACATTTCACACCCCCACCCCAATCTGAACAGCCATAATTAGCAGTGTTGAATTTTAAAGTAAAAAAAAAATCACCCAAGCAAAATGTTCCGTAGGACATAGCGACAGACGCACAGAGGGACAACAGGGAAACAAGAGGGACATGAGTCCATGCTCGCCTTCCTCCCAAAGCCACATTCCCTCGGCAGCTCCTTAATCTCGACCGCCATATTCTACCAATTTCTGGTGGATGTATAAAAACCTCCCCTATATAGAAGTGGGTGGAGAAGTTGCGCAATCGTTGATGGATTCGGCCATGCACCCAGCATCCAGGGTTCAATTCCTGCCACAAGTATGGAGAGAACATGCAAACTCCAAATATACAGCAGGCGTCGGGGTCAAGCACGCGACATCCGGCACACCAGGTGAGGGCGTTCACATTTCGCCACTGCGATGTCGTTTTACTTACGTAGACGGCAGAGCCCCTCCCCAGGGTGATGGTGTCCGCTCCTTCCGTGATGTACAGGGCCACGGTGGAGGCCGTAGCGGAATACGGCTTCTGCTCAAGCCTGGCCACGACGCTGCAGCTCGGCTTGGACAGCAGAGTGAGCAGCGTGTAGTTGCACGCGTGGTGGACGTCAAATGTCATTCCGTCGAAGGTGCTGTAGTGGGGGTCACCCACGGTGTGGCACTGCTCTGCAGGGGTTGTCGGATAAAAATAAAAACCACGCTACTGGTATTGCTGCAATGGATTTATTCTCACAATGGTGAAATAAAAGTCAGACGATTTTTGCGATGTCAGTTTTGTAAACGTTGCGTATGCCATTTTTTAAGGTTGTGATATTCTTACCCCCCCCCCATCCTCACCGTTATACGCCTCCCCAATTGTGCCTCAGGCAGAATATCAAGGCGGCCCTTTTACCCCAATTAGCCCACGCTTCGCAGAAAAGATAACTGCCACATTGAGAAACGCTTTTTCTTGGTCTGTGAGCCACTTGCCTATGGACAATCATGCTTCTTAAGAGCCTAGGATGTTTGTAAGCACTCGTTTTCTCAATGGAATACAAATTTTCCCATCCCATAATTGTGTTAAACACGATCAGAAACCAGGCATACCATACTCTGAAACGTCTTTAAAACAATACCATCACCATCTCTTCAACAATGAATGCGAATACTCAGTACTTGAAGTACCTGAAGTACCCAGAAGTACAATTAATTTTATCCCAAACGATCAACCTAGCACACATCCCTGGTGGGAGATATCAGGTTTACAAAACGATGTTTCTCCGTTGGCTTCACAACCAACATCACGATTCAAATGTTTTACTTTGGGGTTGGGCAGTAGCAGCTTTAAAACGCAGATTTGCATTTGACCACACTTCAGCAACGTCAATTGTAAAAGAACGGCAGGCAAGGGACTCACTCTTCTTCGGGACGCAGTAACGATTCTCATCTTTAAGGACGCAGAAGCCCTCGCAGGGGAACGGGCTACACACGACGCTGCGGCTTGGTGTGCATTTGCACAAACTTGTGCAGTTGGCGTTGCGAAATGTGGATCCAACCTAAACAAAGACGGACAAACGAGGAGACCCCTCGTTTACAAAGCGTGAGTTTCTACACCAGACGTTGAGAATCCAGTTTCCCTTTCCACACCCGACTGTTGATTAAAACAAATCAACATTAAGTATTTGGGATTTTTAGTTACAATTATGCTATTGTCCAAACTGCCGCTAAGTGAACCGTCAGGGCATTACACGGCTCGACACGGTCGATCTTGGGCTGCTCTACAACGAATCCAAAGGATTTGTCACGGCTCTGTGCGTAGATTTAAGTCAATCCAGCTCTTTGAAGTCGATGAACGCACTCCACCCCTTCGTGATTAACTCCCTCAACAAAATCAACAAGTATGCCAATCGGCGAACTCCATATTCGTACACAAGCAATGAGTATGGTCGTCTCCCTCGGTACACTCGTCTCGTAGCAATGCTGAATGACTTTAGTCTACGTTTTTATTCACACCAATAATATTTGTCGCGTTAGTCTTTTGGTGGTAGTCATCATGCCGAGACTTGTTCACGCACAGAGGCCATTGCTGACTAAATCACTTGACAGTTTCTCATAATTGTTTAACTTGCATAACAGTTTTTTTATAGCAGCAAGTTGGCACTTCCCAGGCTCCAGTGACTGCCCATGAGCCATGGATCGCTGTGGCACTGTTACAAGCTGTAAAACGTTTACACAACTCGATTGGAAAACTCATTTAGCAACAACGTCCCCCCCCCCCCCCCACCGCTGACGGCCTAATTAATACCCACACCTCCGATTAGCACCGTACATAGCCAACCGTGCTGAAGAAATTAATACACAATCGCAGGTCAGTTGCTGCGTGTACCTGGGACAGCTGCCACTTGGCTAGACCCACAGCAGGACATCGGAAATGACCGAGAAGCGATAACAAGGAGCAGAGTTGCCCGCAAGGCATTCCAAGCGTCCTTTAAGAGAAAGACAGCAACCCGCGTAAACCCCTCGATGGCGCGAGCCACCCCCTCTTGACAAGACAATCTCGCCTCGTAGTATCGGGCGCCATCGATGCACCCGCACTGCTCAGGCAGCACGCAGCGACCGCCGCTCCAGACGAAGCCGAAGTCGCACGAGCAGCCCTCCAGGCAGGGCGCCTTCACGACGCAATTCTTCTCGGCCTGCAGGTCGGTGCACGTGGGAGGGCACGAGACGGCGCACGCCTCGTGGTGGCTGTTCTGCGGGCACGCCGGGGCCACTGGCGAGACAAACCAAGGGGTCAAGGGTCGCCGTTTGACAAGGGGGAGCGCGCCGGGGGGCGAAGGCACCGTCGGTGCACGGCCAAGTAAAGTAGCCCACTCGTAAGAGTTGCGCGTCAGGCGGATCAAAGTCGGTCCGGAGTGCTTCATCGTGTCCGAACGTCGCGTGCAAATTTACACTTGCCCTCGACGCCATTATTTAAAAAAATATGACGATTAAGATAGACAGTATTACAAAGGGTCACGTTTTTATGTCTATATCATAACCAATAACGACGACATTTATTGAAAACACGCCAGATTTTTGCAGGCAAGTCAACTCGGGAGACGCAGAGCCAAGCAAGCTCAGGGATGATCGAAAGCCCCGACCCAGACAGGAGGTCTTGAGACGTTTCTTGAAAGGAGTAACGAGTGCGTTTGGTGTTGCAGATGTGCAAAGGGGATGGAGAGTTCCACACCAAGGGGGCAGCACAGCAGACGCAAGGCTGTAACAGGGTGTCCCCGAAGTGAATTTGCTTCGAAAATAAAGAGCCATCCTGGTCACTATTATATTGATCAGCAGGGGCAGCTTTCATTACATGATAAAAGGTACAGTTACCCCAGCGCAGCCCTAAAATTTATTGTTAACGCCACGGTTCAGAAAGACTTCTTCTCCCGTCTAACGCTAGAGCCCCTCCAGGAGGATGCTTGGCCTAATTTTCCCACGGGTCAATGTCTTTTAAAAAGAGAGGTAATTTCTTTAATGTGGCAGTCATTTTCTTTAAGAGAGCAAACATTAGACAAGTTCAAAATCTCACCCATTCAACCTCTGCCTCTAAAACTGATCCCTGAAAATGTGAGATTGTTAAATCACTATGGGGTTTTTCCCCCCACATGGTTCCAGCGTCATATCCGGACGCACTGGGGAGGCCAACGAACCGAACTGCAACAGAAGCTCCCAAAGCAAGTGGAGTAAAACAACGAAGACGTCACAATGCACACCAACAACACGACAACACCAAAACACGTGGCAACAACCCGACATCACCGGCACGGCCCCACAACGCGTCTACCCGCCAGTTGTAACCATTTCAGAACCCCCAGCAGCAACAAACTTCACCTTGGAGCGATAACTCGTCCTACACCATTCACAACGTCAACCGAACCTCGTTCGTGCCGAGATGCACGCGCGCGCTTGGCCCTTACGGCAGAGCGTGCTCGCCCTCCAGTCCCACAGCGGCACACCGGCGAGAGCACAGACTGCGGCGTAGGCTGCCAGCGCCAGACAGGCCGCCGGCGCGGCGGGCTCGAGCGGCCGGTCGGCGACGCAGTTGTCGTAGTGGGGGACGACGTCCACGACGCCGTGGCACCTTCTCAGCACGGCATCGCCCAGCAGCCTCGCGCAGCTGTCGTTCAGGAGACGCGCGGCCACGACCACCTCGGCCGCCCTCGGCGCTCCTTGTTTAAAGCCACTGCGAGGGAAATCGAGCGGACGTGCGCTACAGCGAATGCCGACCACGGCGGCGCAACAGTTGGGGGGGGGGGCACAATTTGAATTCTAACGCGGAGGTTCGCCGGGATCGATCTCGCGGGATTGGCAGTTGAATCGATGGTGCCATGGGGCTTTTAAATCTCGTCCACCACCACCCCCGTCTGCCCACAACCCACCCAGCAGTAGAATGGTGGGGGGTGAAGTGTGGGCACACGCTCGTCCAAGACCTTACAGCCAGAACTTTAGAGCACGGCCAAAACGCCGACTGGGAGGGGCTGCCGAGAGGGAGGTCGAGGCCTTGTTTACTTGCAGTGGCACGGGCAAGACATCGCACGGCTGCACTGCCAATCACAACCCCCCCCTTCACCCTCCAATTCAAGTACACAAAGTTCACAAACGGCTGCATCCATGAGGACGACGAGCGTTTGACACCACGGGCCAAAAACAAAGCATCCCCCCTCCTTACTCGTTCCAATCGACCGCTGCCGCCCATGCGTCGCCGAAGGACGCAGCGTCGCGGGCGACGGCTCCCGTGGGCAGCCTCAAGTCGTCGACAGGGTCGCCGTTCATGTTCCCGCACAGGCCGCACACTCGCCCCCAGTAGGAGGTGAGCACTCGGACGTAAGCGTATCCCGCCCCCAAGTCGAGGTGAACTTGCAAGCCAAGCGCGGCAGCGGTGTCGAGGATTAAGAAGCTGCCCGAATTCACTACGACCAAGAGAGGGGAATCTCTGCTCGGGTACATGAATGGAACGCCCGTGGCCATGCCATCAACCTGTATGGCCAAAACGAAAGCGTAATCACCACATCTAGAAGACTGAAACACGGTAAATGAAATGTAAAGCGTTGAAATTAGTCGTAGGGACCCATGCTCACCAATAAACTACCGGAACGAAACAACTTCAACGTTAATCCGTAGACCGAAACGTGGACTTCCAGCAGCTCGGAGCCTGTCCACAAGGGAAGCAAGGGCTTACTCTTCACGAGCACACTCCACGCCTCCCCAGATTGAGAACCACATGGCTGGGGGAAGAAAAAAAAAGAATAGGGATGGAGTGCACAGTAAAAAGGTACAAAAACATGATCAAACATTTCCAGGAGAGAACCGAAATAAATGCGTGTCGTCACCACCCATTGCCAATCTCCACCAAGCATGATGAACTTTTCGGCAACCTACGTAACCAACCATGCCAAATCGCAAGTGTGCAAACAACGCAGTTCTGAAGAAGTTTGTCAATATAGTTGTTAAGTGCGTAGCGCCAGTGGCGTCATAATAATCAGAAGGAAGCGTTCCACACGGCCACAGAAGCACCTCCCAAAAGCACGCAATGTGGTGACAAGTCCTTGTTCGATGGTTAGCCAAAAAGCTGCTGCGAGGATGACCAGAGTTCGCGTGATGGTTTTATTGCTTCGTGACGAGATCGGGCAAAATATTGTGGATCATTTGTAGCCAGAATTTCACACCTTTGGCTTTACACGACTAAAGCTCCCGCACCCCCCGCCCCCCCCCCAATCCACCATATCACACAATCTTGCAATGTAATAAAGGCCACAACGGCAATCTACAGACAATAAAATGTCCAAATCTGCATTTTTGAAAGTGGCTTACAGGTTGCGCCACGTAATTGGAAAATTTGACCAGTTCCCATAAAAGGGCCATGGCATTATGCCAAGTGTAACAGCAATGCCCCCCGCAACCCGAGAGCAAGAGGCCACATAACCCATCTCACCTTCGCCAGGACGAGGCTCTGGGTCCCTTGGTAGGTGTACGGATAGCCATCAAAAGTTTTGAAACGAATCGAGCCTCCCACGTAACACGTGGCTTTCACGAACGGGGGGGGGAGGGGGGTGGGGGCAGGGGGAGGATGGTAGAAACAGAGTCGGTAGTCTTAAATGTGACATTTGGCATCTTCAATGCAATTACAGGAACTCTTCTACTGGCAGATCCAAGCCATGCCTGTGCGGAGTGCCAGCCTGGTACGGTTCGAGGCATCGGGCTGTTTTTTTTTCTCTCCAATCTAACAGCAGAGCCGTGCGCAACGGACGTAGATGACACTGACACTCCACATTTCGTGAGCACCGCATTCTAAAATACTTTACCAGGCAAGGACCACGGAGTTAGTTATTTTTCCGAAGCGACCAGGTCACAAATGATAGCTCAACAAAGTGGCTTATCATGTTGAAACATAGCAGCCAAATACTTTAAAACGCATGTTGATTCTAAATGTAGAGGGATAAACCGGAGGCAACCCAGAAAAATCCACGCGACAATGGGGAGGAGACAGGACACGCAAACTCCAAATATACAGCAGGCGGCAGGTCAGAACCCATAACCTCCTGCATGTCAGGGAAGGAAACTAATATCACCGTTGGTGCCTATTCATCCAGACAATATTATCGCTCTTTAGTTAGCACGCACCAACAAGACGTTTCATCAACACCCCCCCCCCCACCCCTGGCCCAGCTTGGCACAGAGCCCACTGAGGGGGGAGGAGAAGCACCGATGGCCTAGCACAGGCGTCGGGATGCAGGGCCGTCGTGGAAGGGCACGAGGAGCTCTCGCGCAGTCAATGCTTGGGGCAGTGCCCTACCCCATTTGGGATGGCTGCCATGGACGCCGTCCACATCCACGCCGCAGTAAGACGTGGTCGCGTTGTGCGTGTACGGCTGGCAAGAGGCGACGTCGAGACCCCTGCACGTGCACTGCACGCTGCAGTTCCCGTCCATGTACAAGTCGCCAACCTAACGTGGACCCGCACGCGTGCAGAGGCAAAGGGGGTGACGACGGCAATGCAGTTGTGGGTCCATGACACCAGAGACGATGGTGGCAAAGTTGTCGGGATTCCAATTTCTTTGCATGCAATTGGTGCGATAGCCGCTCGAGACGAGTGGGTTGGCCAAATAAAGCCCAATCTTTAGCAGCATAAAACACATTGGCACGGATAAGGCAGGTTGCAACCAACTGGTAACAGTTCCTGCTCTGGCCGATTGGAGATATTTCCCATATTAAAAATCAACTGGCGCCGAAACAATGCAATTTACATCACCGTGTGTAGGACCTTGGGCACCGCAGCCAACAACAAAAATCGGGAGGTGCGAACACCGAAGATCGGGCTACACATTGATAATAAAGAGTGGCCTTACCATTCTTACTAATGCAAAGAGCTCGGGCCACCCAGCAGTACAAATGCGTACGCTACCTCGTGTGGCAGGGCCAACATGGACGTGTTGGTCTAAGACCCTCTACAGCATCACTCCCTTCGAGTGCAGTAACTGGCGGGCAGCAGCGAGTGGCAGTAGCAAAGGAAATTCTACATCCTCACCGAATAGTATTTCCCATTGCGTGTGCATCCACACTCAGAAGGCAGTACGCAGGAATCCTTGTCCCAGATGCGCCTAGCTGGACACACGCAGCCTTCCCGGGGAGGGTCGCCACAGCCAAGCTCGGCGTTACCATCGCCGCAGGACGCGGGGCAGGCAGAGGCCACCGTGGAGTAAACCGATGTCGGGGGGCAGCTGTGCACTGTGGGGGGGGGGGGGGTGCAGAGGGTGCACAAGACAGACAGCGGAATGCCACGATGCAATAGAAATCGGATAATTACTATATTAAAAACCAGCGTTCGGACAGAACGTTTTGTTTAGGACTTTCAATATAGCAGCCAGGATAACTAGATTGAGTTCGTGGAAGAATCATGACCCCCCCCCCACCCAACCCTCTCCCATACTCAATGGCTGAATTTATTCGGCCCAATCTCAGCACTAAGCAACTATAATCTCAGACAATAATACACACGTGTACATGGGGGGGGGGGGGGGGGGGGGGGGCAGGCATTCCTAAACCTTGACCAGTCTTGAATACACGAGCCTAGAACGGACCTGGCCACCCCCCCCCCCCCCCCCCCCCCCACCTTCCAAAAGGAAATCCTGCTTGCTCCGACGAGTCCGGCGTGCCTGCCGATACCGTCATGCCCCTGGTAATACCGTCCAGAATGTCAGCATGTTGCGATGTGCATTGCGAGGATGTCAAATAAAGATTTTAACCCCAGTGTACAGAATAAAATCAAATACCATCCTCGTGTGACCCTGCATCACTGCATTTTAACCGTCTGCAAACAATGGGGGGGGGGGAAGCCACGCAACCGAAAGGGACTCACTGCAGCCAGTGACGTTCCGCCAAGTGGCGTTGACGCGTCCTCCGGCCGCGTAGCAATCATCCACGTAGGCCTGCAGGGCCCGGCAGAGGCCCACGTGCATGTCCATGAGGTGCTCCACAGAGAGGTCGTAGACGCACGCCGTGTGGTAGGGTCCCATGGCTACCGTCGCGCTGCACTCGGCCAGGGGACCCGACTCAAGCTCTCTGCACGTGTCGGCAGAACCCAACAGGGTGCCGGCTCTCTGCTGGATAAAGCGGCTTGATGATCCGTCGTCTGGAAGTCCGCTGGGGGAGTTAAACGAAAATTTAATTAGAGAATAAAAATGCAGCCTTTCGCGACGTGTTGGGAAGACTGAACGCGGCGGTGTCTCGTCGCCACCGTGGCGATGTGCCACGCACCGTATTTCGCTATCCCGAATGTTCATTACGTGGAAGAAAAACAAAGTGCAGGGGGGGGGGGGGGGTAACACGAAACCAATCAGACGGCGCAAAAAAAGTGGGGGACTCCATTTGGTCTAACACCTTCTCCTGGAGGAGCCAGGGTGAGAGACACCCAACACGCATGGGGAAGGGTCGTTTGGGACATTTCTCTGAGATCCACCAACCGCCGCGCCAGGCTAAACTGGCACGAGCGTGCGGACGGCTTTGTTGAGTGTCGTCGTCTTTCCCACGCACCTCCGACTAGCACGGTTGGCTAACGTACGGTGCGAAAGAAGTTCAACATATGTGCACACGCATGACAAAGCCCAAGATAAATTTCACCAGCATCATGGTTAATGCGCAAGGGCCCACATTCTAACCGTGGATGAACACTACCAGCCACACCTGATGCACGTTAGTGCTCTTTGGAAGCGTGTCAAAGACACCAACTGCGTATATACAGTTCGCCATTCACTGCAAGCCACCATTAACAGGTATTGCGATTTTTGCACCCAAAAAAGCCGGCTAAGTCTACACATGTCGAGTAACTGAATAACCCAAACAACAAGATATCCATTGTAGTTTATAGGGCTACATTAACACCCCCCCCCCCCCTCCGATTGGCTCAGTGACGACATCACATTCACCCCCTCTAAGACTGAAACAGGAGGCTCTCCACAAATCTGGCTGTCGCCTGATGATGCTGGTTGTAATTGCAGGCGAAACGTCGGACTGGAATTGCTAATGTTGTGGGTTTACTCTCCAAAAACACCGGTGTGGTGAACTAGTAACCAATTGGCATGTTTTGTTTACGTGACAAGTCTTACATTGGCTGTGCCGAGTGGTGGTGGGTTTAATGACACATTTATATTTACACAATAATCCAAAAAAGCCTCATGAATAATATTGGTCGAAAGCCTAAGTGTTCAACTGCCGTTACAAAACGTTATTACAGGTATATCATTGTCGACCTCAAAAGTAGACCCACCAATGCAATTGGGCACAAGGTGTGATGCGTTTACCGAATATTCTACCTCGCCTGCTTCTCACAATGCGTAACACATACAGGGCAAATCGCACCTCTCCCCCAAAAAGTCCACGATCCAGTAATTTCCAAACTGAGCTCCGGTTGTGGCACGGAAGCCCGGAGCGGTCCATTCATTAGTCACGTTGCCGTCGTAGTCCCCCAGCAAGCCGCACGTCATATTCCCATAGCGGATCGGGTTTTCCAACTCGACTACAACACGGGAATCGCCTGCGGAAAACGGAGAAAATCGTTATTCACCGCGTCATAAGCGAGTTATTAAGGCGTGCACACGGGTTGCACGTAAATTAAAAAACAGTTTTACCGAATTTCACCGAGAACTCCAGGTTTGTCCTCAGCACGCGATCGTTTTGCGATTTGAAGATGTGGAATCGGTACAACGGGTCCTTGTATGGCATATTCACAGCAACATCGTTCACCTAAAAAAAAACAGTATACGAGCCGGGTCAGTGGTCAATGTGACGTTCCAAAATGTTAAACATTGCATTAAAAAAAAAAACTGGTCGTTACCCATGCTCCAGAACTGTCGAGCACGACTTGAAATCCGTACACAAAGATCCACGCCTTCTTCGTCCAGCTCACGGTTTGAGTTCCCCAGCGCTCGTTTTTGGCATAGACAGCCCATTCGTCGGCCGTCTTGTTGCACGTTCCTGCCAGCAGGAACGGCTTGGTCCCCATGTAGTCGAAGCGGAGACCATCAAAGGACTTGTAGTGCGGATCGCCGTCGCCGCAACCCGAAGCTGTGGATGCAAAAGAAAAAGCAAGCGGGGTGGGGGGGGGAGACGGCTAGAAGTGGGTCAAGGTTCCGTGAACAAAACGCGCAAAAACTACCCAGGGCACCTTAATAAATCCCACAATGGTGGTGTTAATGCATTTGTAAGGCAATAATTGGAGAGACAGTTCGTGGCATGCAAGTAGTGTTTCTCTCACCACTGCTGGCAGATCAGCCTCCACTGGAGGAAGCCCCCTGTGGATTGTATACATGTAGAACTTTTGCACCGTACGTAGGTAGCCAACCGTGTTAATCGGAGGTGCAGGGATAGATTAGTTGGCACTCGGCCACTCTGGCCAGACCTCTCTAAGTGGTTCTAAGCCTTTACAGAGCCTTGCACATCCCTTTCGTTCTCAATTGTAAAAAGGTATGTTAATAAATACATTTGTTTGACAAAGTAGTTGTATTTTGATTTAAAGTTTCGTGACTGCAGCGATTCATATTCTTGGTTCTTTCGGTAAAGTCACGTTGAAGGGAAACAATAAAATAATAAAATATATACAATATATTGTTATATATTTTATTATTTTATTTTATATATACAATATATTGTTTTATATATATTTTATCATTTTATTGTTTCCCTTCAACGTGTCTTTACCAAAAGAACCAAGAATATAAAGTAGGTGTACTTACAGGGCCATGCTTAATTTGTGTGTTCGATGATTTACCTTCTAAAATAAATCTGAAAGGGCATCTCACATCTCCCCAGGTTAAGATCCACTGCTTCATAAGGTGCAAGATTACAACCCAACTGAATTTCAAGTTCAGTATGCCAACCATCATCATGTTGCAAAAAAACGTTATTATAAATAATTTGATTTTCAACACGACCACAAGGGTCAGACGAATCCAGTAACATTTTTCAAAAGTATTATCCGAATACACCGTTTTATGCAGGCATCATGAACACATGGACAATATATTGTAATTAACAGACTGAATGCATCATTGAAGATGCATAACATCTATGAAACGTATGGCAGCCACCAGACAAAGTTTACTCCGCTTACACCGGTAACATCCTCAGAGTTATTGTGCGTGCAATCTGACACGATTACATAGTGTGCAGCACCTCCAATTTGCAGTTAGCTACGTACGGTGCAAAAAAAAGTGCAGACACGCATACATGTGGGAGTGTGCTCACAATAATCTGATCAACTCCAAACAAAAACTGAGAAGCAGACAATTGGAACAAACGCCACGTACCGAACACTCTGCGCTGAAAGAAGAAAATCCACGTGCACTCCTCGTGGGGCTCAGAGTCGACGCGGGCGGCCCCCGTGTCCTCCCCGGCCCCCTGCACCACGGCCCCATCCAGCTTCATGCAGTAGCGCGTCGCGCCCCGGAACGTGAACGGGGGCGTGCTGACAGAGAACTCCCTCTCGTTGTGGGGGTTCATCCGCACCCTGGAGCAGTCGGAGGCGTTGACGCAGTGGGCGAGGCGGCCGCTCTCCACCTCGTAGAAGCGCACGTGGGCCCTGGCATCGAGAGTGGAAACGACCTGCGACGGACGAACGCAAAGATCATCCGCGTCCCTCGCCTTTCAGGCCCTCCACAAACATTATTTATCATTACACATCCAGCTGTCAGATTTCTAAGGAGGACAATACTTGCAGCATCGTTGGTTCATCATTCTTCCACCGCACCTCCGATTAGCACGGTTGGCTATGTACGGTGGAAAATAAAGTTTAACGTATTTACACAATAAATTAACTTTGGATCGTTTTAACACTCGGCTTCTCATCAGCAGTCAGGTTTGCTTGAACCAATCCTGGTGAATTACCAGATTCCGAATAAAGTCGATACATTTCCATAAATTGTTAATTTTGAATGCTCCGTCATCTTCAATCTACGTGTGAATTACAATAATCAGTGCACCATGCCTTCGCTAACCCACACGGAAAAGCATGGTAAAAACAATGCATCGTGAGCTTAGTGCCAGAATTATTTAGTTGCATTGTTACACCCTTAAACTATAACTGGTGGGCAAAGGTTGACCGTGGTTGGGGCACTGCTCTGAATCAAAATCCGAGTCTACCTCAGACTGGAACAGGAAACCGATGACCTATCAAGCTATTTTTCAGATGTCCAGCTCAAGAGTTCGATTCCCAGCCATGGCTAAAATCAGTGGTAAGCAATGCATCTTGAACCATTCCCGACCCTCAGCACTCCACTGGCCAGCAATGAAGCAGTGTTATAAAATCCCGAAGACAGAAGGCATGCGGGAAGACCTCCATCTATCTCAGCAATAGATTACCAAAAGCCTGTACACATGCACAATCTAGCAGTCTACAAAACTGGACACGTGACAATGTTTTGCCTTAGAGAATGAGGTGCCACTGCATACGTCAACGTGTAAATATTTACCAGGTCGTTAAAGGTCACGATGAAAGTGACCGTATCGGCATAGGTGGCATTGCTGCTGATGGACATCTGGACAGGTGCCAGTGGAGACGTTTTTTTCAGCATTCGTTTAGAGGGCAAATACGAATCTGCAACAGCAAAAGAAACACCACAACTCACCCACCTGGAATATACAATGGTCAAAATTAGGCTTCAGCAGAAAAGCACAAGTGTTTGTTTATGCAATTCCTTACAAAACCATATTATCAAAATATTTTTTTTTAAACCCAGCTTACCCGACACCACCACCGTGATGCATCTCAAATCACTCTGCTGGCTGCAGTTGGAAATGAAAAAGGAAACGTGTTAAACGGATACCAACTCGAATACGAATTTTCAAAATGTTAATGACAAGACAATTCTACTTCGTGAAGTTGCCATTATGCTTGAAACTACGTCACGGCTACTGGCTTCGTGTAAACGCGATTTACCACGATACCTGGATTAAGATTTGAGTATTAAGACATTTACATTGAAACGTCAGACATTTTAGCATCTCGAAAATTGCTTGGCTTTTAAAACACCTCTTTGAACTTCACCGACGCGAGTTTTCCTGCAGTAGCCTGTGCATGGCAGTGCTGGGTTTGAGTCAAAATAACCAAAAACAGACCCTTCAGAGTCCACAGCAAAGAAGCAGATCAAATGCTTCCCCACATCCTTGGAGGCGATCTTCCACTTGAGGTACGTTTGGAACAAGCTGGGGTCCTTGTAGTTTCTAACAACACTGCCAGCGAGAATGTCTCGTCCGTAGACCACCAGGTGGGTAATGGAAGCACTGCCAGACAACACAAAGGTGACCCCCCCCCCACGCTCCAATCAAAGCAGTCAACATTACACAATACAAAATGTCACGGTACATAAACCCATTGGCTTCCCTGACCAATGCGTAGGAGACTGCTCTGCTTCCATTGCCCTGCTGCCCAGAGTGCCACGGGGATTTGTATACAACACACGAGGATTGCTTTGGTGTTGTACAGATAACCATCTGGTAAGCCCAGGGGCTTTGTTGACCAAGCCTGGCTGTTGAAGAGGGAAGGTCGAGACCGGGGTCCAGTCTTCTCGCTCGGCACAGACACTGCTGGGTCCTATTGGTCTGGGAAGCCAACGGGGTTGCAGACAAAAAAACACTTGAAATGTGGAGGCACGGAACCGAGTGCCACCGCTTTTGGGGGTTATTTGACCATACTTCACCACACGTGTCAGTGGGTTGGTCAAGGGGGGGGCAGCCAGAAGCCAGTTCGGATATCGCTTCACCACTGATGGGACCTGTGGCTGTGGGATACAATCCAGGTCACTGGGCTCACGTAGTGCAACGCGCCACTACTTCACCCCAACAGCTGAAATATTTACATATTTTGGTCGCAGAATTGTTATGCACACTGTTACAGAAGATACGTGCTGCTCATCATGAGGCATATTGCACTGGGCACGCATGTGTGGCGCTGGCAGGGAGCACTTCTTTAATCAAAACGCGTGCATTGTAATATTTTTAGCTACGCACACGTATAATTAGAATCAACCTCACGGTCCATGGGCAAATAGCCCTGTAGGTGTCCACTGCACATTTCGGCATTTGATTCGAATCAAAGTAATTTTGCAACCACTTGAAGAATATTCAACCAATGCAGGTACCCACCTCGTCGGCGGCGTCTGGAAGGTCACGACGTTGATGGGCACCTTGAGCGTGCGGCCCACTTGCGTGCACAAGGAGGCCCCCTGCAGTGGCGTCAAGCCTACGAACGCTGGCTTTGAAGTGCAGGGGTACCCGGAGTACGAGACTGGAGGCCAAAAGGATAAACGATGCTTCGTGTTAAATCATTAAAAAAGTTTTTCCTCTGGGCGACAGCATGTCAAATCGTTTGTAAAAAAAAAACATGAAAGTTCGCGAAATGTTAATTTTGCCCCCTTTAAAAAAGTGGCAATTTTATTACAACGAATTGTGGGCCAATAAGAGCCAAAAAAGCCACAAATGCGAGTTTAGCAGCCTGCAGAGGACACGCGCACACACACGGGCGCACGCCCACACACCGACGACTGTGAAATGCAGCGGCACGGACGACAGCACGTCGTAGGGCCCCTTGGCAGACTCGTCGAGGTGAATGGTGGACGCAGGAGAGTCCTCGACCACGACCGTCACGCCGTACGTCCCGGCGAGAGGGCGACCCCTCGTCGGCCCCCCAAACCTGAACACGCACAGATCCTGGGGGGCGGGGCACGGGGGGATGGGGGGGGCGGGATGAGACGACGTCACAATAGGGGCCATGCGAATGCTCGTCACCAACAAGCGGCGCTGGGACTACAGCGGTGCGCGCTTTGGGCGACTAACGAGGCCGCCCGGTTCAGTCACAACTATGAGCGCGAGAGAAATAATCGCCTCGGGTTAAACATAAACAATGGGATGAGCATAGAACAATGCAACCGATCACTCTTCTGGTTTGCATCTCACGAGATGTGCAATTTCATATGTTTACACATTACCCTTCTGTCACCGTATCCATACAAATCGCTGCCGTCATAGCATTCTTATTATGCCAGCATTAACGTTGCAAATAAATATATCTGACTGCACCAGCAGTGCTGTACCAGCACCAATAGAGAGCGCATTTCAGCGTTAACGTGGGAAAAAAGGGGGAAAGCAATACACAAAACGGGCAGTGTTTATTTAAGCAATGGACCTTCTCCGCAGCAGAGATCTCTCCACGCCGCCTGCGCGCGACGCACAATGGGCTCGAAACAAAAGAAACCGACCGGGAAACGCCCACAAGAGGACGAGAGGACACGTGCCTCTAAGAGTTGAGCATTCGGGAAGCTGCCGCAGCCGTCCGGGCACTCGGGGCCGCGTGCGTAGCGGCACCTCACGCGGTCCCCGTCGGCGTCAGACGCCACAACGCGCTGCTCGGACTCGCAGGCGCCGTTCACGCTGCGCGCCACGGCCACGCAGCAACGGGGGGAGGGAAGGGGGGGAGACATCGTGAGCAGCGCCACGCGGTGCACTCCCAGCAGGAGCACAACCCATGACACGAGTAGAAAACACACGCACACGAGTAATGCTGTAACAAATAATAAAAAAATAAAATAAAAAAATTACATTACCATTTTATATTCTTGGTTCTTTCGGTAAAGTTACGTAGAAGGGAAACAATAAAATAATAAAAATATAAAACAATAAAATTCTCACGACGTTTCGACTGCAACACAAGAAGCAATCATCAGGTGTGAAAACCACAGCAAGAAAATTTGAAAAAAGTGGCGGATTTTTTTAACGTTAGCACCACGGAGAGCGATTTGGCAGTTTGTTCAGATGGATGAGTCCATCTATGTTCGGAAAAGAGGAGGGGGGAGACGAACCTCATAGATGTTGTCTGAAAGCCACCGTAAGCATGAACAATCATTTAAGACCTGAAATGGTTTATCAAATCCTTCCAATGATTGCCAAGCCTGAATCCATCTTCTCGGTTGAAATTGTCTGTGTTTGTATATGTGGATAGCCTCAAGAACGAATCTCTCATGGTAGTCAGATGGCTTGCAAAGAACCTCCGTCTTGGAGAAGTCAATGTCATGCGAGCCTACTGAATTATAATGGTGATCTGCCACGGCCGAGGTGTTGGTCCTACCGTGTTTAAGGTCTGCTTTGTGTTCACGAATGCGGTCCGAGACATGGCGTTTGGTTTCTCCAATGTAACTACTACCACAGAGGCAACTTAGTTTGTAGACGCCAGGTTACTGTATGTCCGGAATCACATCTTTTACAGACGGAACCAGATCACGGATTTTATGTAATGTGTTGAAGCGGACCTGGATCGTGTTTATTCAAGATATTGGAGATCTTTTTTGTGATCCCCGCAATGTAGGGTAAAGTGATGGTTTTGAAAGGCTCCCCAAGAGGGTCCTTCTTCATGGTTGGAGTTATAGCTTTGCGGATTGTGTAATCTGAGTAACCATTAGCCTTAAGAGCTTGGTGTACGTGCTTGAGTTCACTGGCTATGTGATTCCGGACATATAGTATGTGATTCCGGACATACAGAACCAAGAATATGAATCCCTGCAGTCACGCAAGCTTTAAATATATATTTTTTATGTATGCGACTTCACCGAAAGAACCAAAGAATATGGATTCCTGCAGTCACAAAAGTTCAATAAAAAATTCTCGCCTGATATACAGGAGGTCGTGGGTTCAATCCTGACGATGCCTGTATATTTGGAGTTTTTACATCTCTTTGGGTGCTTCTCCGACTTTTTCCCCTCCACACTTCGAATCAACATCACGCGTTGAGTATTTGGCTGCTCTACAGTCTCACGAGACAAGCCACTTCGTTGAGCTGTCATTTGTCGCCAGGTCGATTCTGAGAAAGAGCTACATAGCTCCTGGGCCCTCATTAAATAAAGAGCTCAGTTTAAGGATCGTTAATATTTGTGGCAAGGGATATCAGAACTGGTCCTGCCCAACGTTTGTGTCCTCAACCTGCACCGACCCACAAGTTCCAGGGTGGGGTAAAAGTAAACCCGCGATCAACAATTGCGAGCAGTGTGGACTTGAAACGGTGAAATTCGTAAATGACTTTCCTCCACAAAGTCTCACTGCGTTTGCGCGGCGCGCGTTACCGGATTAGAGGGGGGAAGGCGGCTTTGGGGGAGTTGTTGGACTGGTTCGTGTCGCTCCTGGTCCTCGGGTCGATGCTGGACGCCAGCAAGTACCCATAAGTGTCGAGGGGAGGTTTCGTTTCCGTCGCGCTCATGAGCGACGCATTGTGCCAACAGCAAGACCTGTGCGCGACAATGCATTTTGTTATTTGTTACATGGGAAAAAGATGTCGAGCGCCATTGTTAAACGGATGCGGGATGCAACATCCAGCCAGTCTATCAGATTGCTGGTACAGTATCCGCAATCTCTAATGAGCTCACTGCAACATCCCAACATCATTACTTCTATACACACACTAGACATAAGAACAAGGTCTAAAAATATTACCAACCAGATGGAAACCAATTTCGTTGTTGCCGTTCTCCATATCGCAGCTCTTACAACAATGATTGTAGCCCGACTTGACATTTGCACAACACTCCCAAGAGCGCCTGAACGTCATCTCGCAAGCTAAGCAGGTACGAGGCTGGTTAATGCTTGGATGGGAGACCACTCGCGCTTGTCACTCATCGCAGGCGTGGGAGTTAGGGGCGGCCAGATGGCAGCCGTACAAACCGATTCTTAACCCTGTGTGGAGCATAGCGTTACAAGCCCCCCCCACCCCTCTTATTGGTGGGGTTCCCTTCGGGCATTCCGGTTTCCGCCAGTATTCAAAGCATTAATACATTTGGCCAAACATCCCCATGCTGCACCCTTCTGAGTTTCGAGGCGTCTTCTGGTTGTGGTGTGGCTTAGGAGCACATAACTAGGCGGTTAAAAGCACGATCATGGTCAGATCTTAGAAGCCAAGCAGGATCGATGCCTGGATAGTGCTGGGATGGACCTCCATGAACTAAACCGGCTTTATAAGCCGTTGCTGTACTCCACAGAGGGAAACGCACAAACCCAACACCGTTGTACTCTGCTCAATGTCTCATGCTCCGCCCCGAGTTCCCAGACCCCCACGGTGAAGCATGGTCAGCAGATCGCAGCCGGCAACGCAAGGCGTGGGGCCTGACAAACGAACCCTGCGTGTGCACCACTAGCACAATGAGACATGGCACACGTACCGGTGTTCAGCCGTGCCACCGTTGGTTAACATCGTGAAGCTGCTCATCAACATTTTCCAGCCATCGCGCTCACTGGCCCCGGCACAGCGGTATCTGCCCTGCACCTGCAGCTCGGCACTCCCAGCTGGACAGCTCCACGTCTCGTTCAGCGAACACTTCGTCGTCGAGTGCAGCGCCAGGGAGGACACGATGCGAATCTGCGCACGCACGCACGGCAAGCCTGTAGCGTGCTCTGGTTAAATAGAGAGGGGGGGGGGGCATGCTAACACTCGGGTGGGAGCGCACGAGAAACTAAGAAAATGTTCAAAGATAAACGGAATGGGTGGATCATCTGTGGCGTCTTTCAAGACATGTGGCCAGTGTAGAAGAGGACACCGAAAGCTCCCTCGAGTTTGTGGCGGCTCTGACGCCAGCGGTGCAATTGCAGGGCCTCACCATTACTACCTTGACGATTGTGTACCATTACTAACCTGTTGACGGTTGTGTACCATCACTACCCTGTTGACGATTGTGTACCATTACTACCCTGTTGACGGTTGTGTACCATTACTACCTTCTTAACGGTTGTGTACACTCACTACCTTGTTGACGATTGTGTACACTCACTACCCTGTTGGCGGTTGTGTACCATTACTACCTTGTTGACGATTGTGTACACTCACTACCTTGTTGACGATGGTGTACACTCACTACCCTGTTAACGGTTGTGTACCATCACTACCCTGTTGACGATTGTGTACCATTACTACCCTGTTGACGGTTGTGTACCATTACTACCTTCTTAACGGTTGTGTACACTCACTACCTTGTTGACGATTGTGTACACTCACTACCCTGTTGGCGGTTGTGTACACTCACTACCTTGTTGACGATTGTGTACACTCACTACCTTGTTGACGGATGTGTACACACATGTATTGTGCGCGAGTTCTCACCCCCCCCCCCCCCCCCCCCCCCCATGTGTAGGAGTCATCACGTCTGTACCCATGTCTACACAAAAGGAGGAGACGGAATCCCCTCCATGCTTGCGGGGCCGATGGCCTCACGCCGCGCGGCTCCACTACAGTCTAACGGTCACCCAGAACAGAGCCGTGAAGCGCATCACGGCCTCGATGCCCAGTTCACGGGCACGACGGAAAGACTCATCCCAGCGAGGCACCGCTCCTCAAAAAAACAAATATAAACTCGGTGCAGCCACCTCAACGCAAGCACCACACAGCGGTTTGCTCTACAGCAACATCAGCCACGCGAAGGAGACCGCAACAGTTGAAGTACAGCACGACAGAAGAGCGGGCGACGGCGGCGTACTCTCACGAAGCCTTCTGCAGTCGGCGTCGAGTCTTCTGCCTCCCAGTGCAAGGTCCCGCCATAGTACTCGCGGCCGTGAGACGTGGCGGCGACGCCGACGACGAGGAGCGTGGTGTGCGTGAGCCAATAAGCCCACGTCGCTTTGGCTCTTTGCGTCATAATGATCAATCCCGTCTGGGAGGGGGGAGACTGGAGCCCCTACCCGCGAGGGTCTTTATGGCCTCGCCTTTGATCACGGCGGCGCGTGCGCTCATTGGTTGAGCCATCACGCGTTCCACGTGGACCGGATGTGCCCTCGTGCCGCGTGTTTAATTGCCACGCTTTCCGAGTGGGCAAGCCGCCGATTGTGTATTGTGTTAAGAGTGTGCCAACAAGTTTGACTTCATTCTGCAATGCCTGGCTTGCTTTTGCTTGACATGATACAGGCATACGCATTGGTGCGCAAGTGTAGGTCTTTAAAGTAATTATGATTAATTATAATTTTTACACTGTGTGTCTCGACTTTGATTTATGTATTTTCTCGTTCCATCTGTGCAATTAAATGCCCTTCAGACAACCAGGTTAATTCTCATTGAGGTTAACGATATTTGCAAAATACATTTGCAACGATGGCAGCATTATAAGTCCTCGTTGCGAACATGAAACACACAGGGTCCCTAGGCAAATAGAGAGAACATATTTGGGGGCGTCCATAAATGACGTCACGCACCTGGGGGGGGGGGGGGTCAGATATTTGTGACGATGTGTGACGAGGGAGGGGGGGTTTGAGAAATGTGAGTGACGTCACGTAAAAATGCGCAACTTTAAATACATATAGACAACACGTTCTACTTAATTAAATAGACTTTTTAATAAATGTTTTCTCCTACAACATCAGAGTGCAGCGGCACATTCAATACGCACTACAATGACAATAGTTTAAAGCGATTTGAAGCATGTTTTATTTGGGGGGGGGGCAGAGCTTTGTGACGTCATATTTGAGGGGGGGCGTGTGACTTTTTGTGACGCCGTGTGACGAGGGGGGAGGGGTAAAAAAATCGTCCAAAATCGCGTGACGTCATTTATGGACGGCCCCTTTCATGTTAAAAAGCTTTACCGTTTCATTTTGTATCCACGGAATGTATTACTAGACACATTTTAAAATGCAGAGTCATTGTTAAAAAAAATACGAGAATAAGTCGCCATTCTTGCAAACACGTGTATTTGTTTGTGCAAAAAGAGCGATCAGGCGTTTTTTTGTGATACAGCACTTCAATCACGTAATAATAAAGTTTTTCCCCTTTTTTCTGGCAACAAAACTGAAACCTTTTTTACAAGGATTCATGTCTGCATTAATCACAATACCTGCAGTCAAAATGCAAACAAAAAACATACTATGATAATATATGCATTGTCCTTGAAACTGATTGGTCCACACCAAGGGACGGCTTTCTTTTTGAGCCTCGACCCAATTGGTGCTCGACCAGATGACGCCAAAAGGCGTCACACAGCTCAAAGACAATGCACTATCAAAGTAATGAGGGCACGGGGTGAGAATCTACATCATTATTATATTTTGGTACTGGCAAAGGAGGTCTAATGATGTAGATACTCACCCCGAGCCCTCATTACTTTGATAGTGCATTGTCTTTGAGCTGTACGCCTTTTGGCGTCATCTGGTCGAGCACCAATTGGGTCGAGGCTCAAAAGAAAGCCATTCCTTGGTGTGGACCAATCAGTTTCAAGGACAATGCATATATTATCATAGTATGTTTTTTGTTTGCATTTTGACTGCAAGTATTGTGATTAATGCAGTAACATGATTCCTTGTAAAAAGGTTTCAGTTTTGTTGCCAGAAAAAGGGGAAAAACCTATTATTACATTTTGGTACTGGCAAAGGAGGTCTAATGATGCACTTCAATCACGTCTTTCGCAAACACACGCCTGCAATATAGAGTAATTTGCAATTGCGTTTCGTTAATGACAGTGCAAAGATGCTCCGAAGCTCAATGGTCTTGGGTTATGGTCATTCCCATAACAGTCTGAGGATTGACCATGGGCTGTGTGCATTGTTGTTGTTGTTGTTATTATGAAGGTCGCCATGAAAACAACAAATGTCATAATAGGACACCATCGCCAATTTCTGGGTATGATTCGATAAATCAGTCCACGATTTTTCGTAATAGTATTTCACATCCTGTTGTATTTTTCTGTGATTTTGCTGTGGACCTCCAGTACAATTAAGAATTATATTCTTGGTTCTTTTGGTAAAGTCACGTTGAAGGGAAACAATAAAATAATAAAATATATATAAAACAATAAAATTATCACGACGTTTCGACTGCAACACAAGCAATCATCATCAGGTGTGAAAACCACAGCAAGAACATTTGAAAAAAAGCGGCGTTTTTTTAACGTTAGCACCACGGAGAGCGATTTGACAGTTTGTTCAGATGGACGAGTCCATCTATGTTCGGAAAACAGGAGGGGCGAGACGAAAATAATGGATGCGGCCTGAAAGCCACCGTAAGCGTGAACAATCAATTAAGACCCAAAGCTTTAAATCAAAATTAATTAAACGTTTGTCAACTAACGTTTACTCAACACATCCCTGTTACTAGTATTATAATCAGCGCAATTATACCGCTCACGCTTCCATTTACGCATCGTAAATTAATGAAATGGACTACAAAACATAAAGTATCTCATTGCCATGCTAATGCTTGATTTGAAGCTTTCGTGACTGCAGGAATTATTATTTGGTTATTTCGGTAAAGTCACGTAGAAAGAAAATACATTAAATATAATAATACGACGTTTCGATTGCAACACAAGCAATCGTCATCATGCTAATGATTGCTCCTGCATCAAGTTAATTGACAATTGATATTTAGTAACAACTTTAACTATTCACTTTTTTAGCAATTCTGACATATTTAAAGTTTATTTTATTTGACTCAAGAGGCAAAGGATGAATCTCATTTGCAAGAGCGACCTGAGTCATATAAAAACAAATTACAAAAGCGATCAAGTAAAACAACAACAACAAAGTACTGTAACAACAACGAAGTGAATGTCAGCCAGTAGAATATTTAACAGCACACTAGGCGAGCAACATAACGGACGATACCATGGATCGTATCGTACCGTATCGATATATTGCAGCATCGCCATATCCATAACAGCCCTAATGACGGTATAACGATCACGGGCGTCGCGTGCCACGTGACATTGTTGCGGCTTTTCGTGACGTGGTCAGGCTGTGGCGTCGAACCGCCCGTCCAGCAGTACGGCCACCTGCTCCACCGAGTATCGGATGTACTTGCTGGGATTCTTGGAGAAGGAGACACTTGCGAATCTGCGTGTGGACATGATTCGCAAAAAAAGAGATACACGTTCAGTCAGCATGGGCGCACATTCAAATGTTTGGTTTTTGTTTCAGATTTATATACAAGTCATGAATATATTTCACGTGGAATAATCCCCTGCTCGTTTGTAGGGGTGGCCAGGGTTGTCGATTGACACGTGCATGAGCTCACACACGTTGTGTGCACATTGTGGACTAGCTTGTTTGCCCGTCCAAGGACGAGTGTATGTCGCAGTCAATCTGAAACATTCAATAGAAAAATTGTTCAACTCATGATTATTAATGAGGGGGGGTTCCCCATGTGGAGTGACGTCACCCGCTAATGGTTATTGGGGAGGGGTGCGGCATGTGGAGTGCGCGGCCTTCTTGTGCGTCAGTGTAAAATATTAATGAGGGTGGGCCCCATGTGGAGTGACGTCACGCACGGGACGGACCGACATTTCTGGGTGATTATAGTAGGTAATGCGTCTGTGATGTACAGAGTGATCCATCTATAGATACCCTGTGATTTCTATTGACCCTCTTTCTTTATTCAACGGCAGATTGATTCACGTGAAAGTGGCAGCTTTGTTGGATGACGTGCATCAGCGGAGTGTAAAAAAGAAACAACATGAATACGTGTATTGTATGTGTAACGTCTTTTGCACCGTACGTACCCAACCGTGCTAATCGGAGGCGTGGGGTGGGGGGGAACAACAAGCCAAACACACAAAGCACTTCTACAGAAATTAGTTTCCAAATCGAGATTGATTTAAAAGTGCATAGCTCCCGTTGGCTTCCTAATAGCACACACTGTGTCCCTGAACACTTACACCATGCCAACATCACTGCCATTTGGCGTGTCCACGTGTGGGCCCCGGTCGCTCGCCATGCGGGGGCACCTCACCCACCTCTCGAGGAAGCTGCCGTAGGCGCGGACGACTCCGGGTTTGCCCTCGCCGTGGATTTTCGCTCTCAGGTCACGATCGGGGATGGCCCAAGTTCTCTGCACTTTGCACAGCTCTTCCAGGCCATTGTTGAACGCCTAGGAATCGTGACGCACGAGTGCATGGTTGGAGTGTAATTATAAATAGACATGGACATCTGGCGAATGTCCAGAGCAGCACGGGGGAGACGAATGCATATTATCAAATTGAGAGACTGAAAGATGAACACGCGGATTAAAGAATATGCACAGGTCGGAGACGTCATTCAAACTGTTAAGGAGAGTGAGCTTGGGCATGACACGCCACGTGAAGGGATTACAGCCAATTGTAAAAACATAAAAACAAGATGCAGCAATGACAGCTGCAGCCGAGGAATGGTACACATCTGAGAGTGCCTTCCCAGACGAGACACAGCAATCAGCTCGTGTGCTGGTGCTAAGTGGATTATTACATCGCAGGATTGGTGGGCATGCAACGCAGGGTCATGGACAGCCCATGGCTGCTGATGATGCCGATGTTTTAGAGGAATCTCCCTATTAATGGCAGCTGTTTTTATTAGAGTCACTAATTGTCTTGCCCGTACAATATTAAACAGTGTGATTCGATTCAGATGTTGAAATATGGACTTTAGACTTACACTAAACTTGTCTTTGATCATTTTCCTCTCCTTAGACTTTATCTGGAAGCATTAATAAAACAAGATTAATCATCATCAAACACAATATACATCTTATATAACAGCCTCATTCGGAAACAACATCAATGATTAATTTAGACCACCGCTAAAATGTTGATGAAGTCCATTAAGACCTCCAGCCTGAACACAAATAACCATGGACATAAGACGAATACTCCAGAATATTTAATCTGAGTTTAACAGGTTTAGAAAGCAGCTGACTTGCTGAAATTCATTGCAATGTATTTATGTAATTGTAGTTCGAAACCATGACACAGTATTGTAAACATTAAACAAAACAGGGCAGAAGCGGTGGTGCAGTGGTTAGCTCACGGTGCTGTGAGCCTGGCGACCACATTTCAATTCTGAGCCATTGTAACATCAGTTTTGAGTGATATCTCAACCGGTCCTGGATTCCTCTCGTCACCCACCCACACAGACCAGCGTGCTGAAGTATGGTCAAACATCCCACGTGACCAAATCTTGTGTGGGAAGGCCTTCATTGTTCAGCAGTAGACTGACAAAGTGGTGTGACATCTATACATTATCTTACGACAATGTAATGGGAGAGATAATGTATATCCAGACATAATATGTGCAATCGTACATTTTCTCTAAACGGATATGGTGTTTCAAAACAACTCGCGGTGCCTACGATAAACAGAATGTTCAATATTTAACGCACAACCGGTGTCTTAATGAGGGTTCACGTTCAAGGTCAACGCTTTGATGCAGAGGTCAATTCACAGCGCACAATGTTTGCACCCTTTAATCTCCGGCGTGGCCGAACACACGCGAACAGTGGACAACCTCCACGCACATTGGCGAGCGCGTTTTAAACATTTAGAAACCGCACAAAAGACGCGCGCGCGTATCCGGTGTCCTTGCCATTGTTTTTGTTTGTCACGTGATCGTCTCCTGCGTCACCGCCGCAGCACGTGCGTGCGGGCGTCGTCATCGTTTGTAATTCGGTGTCTCTACACAGTGAGGAGAAACCCGATAGCCAGGGCGTGCCACTGCTCATCAAGCAAAGGGCCCTGTCTATCAAGTGTCTCCTGCCTCACCTGGCGACGTGTCTCCTCATTTCATCTCGGGAGTCAAATGCTTTCCAACTGCTGAAATCCGCGGTCTTGTTCGGCGTTCAGAGCACATTTTAGAGCCGTGAATGGAATTGTACAATGCTGCAAATCTGACAGTAATTGCCAGGCAAAGCTCACTGAGCGATTAGCTTCTTTTCACGTGTGACCTGCCCACACAACGTAGCTCACAGAAGTGGCTTGTTAAAAATGAGGATCACACGCAAACTCCAAATATACTATAAAGGCATCGTCAGGGTCGGGATCGAACCCACGATCTCCTGCACACCAAGTGAGGGCGATAACATCCCCCCCACTACCGCGGTGAGCTCTAAAGCACGGTCGTGCACATCTCGCGTTTAAAGTCGTTTGCGCTGAATTTTTAACCACTGACCCGTCGTTATCTAGAGATGTTCGCATATCCAAACCTTTACACACACCCCGCTCGTACTGCAACTCTATTGTATTGCAACGCCGTTGTTATCTTTTCGTTGCTTTTACCTTGGACCCGGGTTCCAATGAGGGGAGGCCGCTGGCCGTGATGTGATCCAGAAGTTTCCTCCAACTGCCGGCGTCCACAAGCAAACAGTGGCGGTGTCAACGCCTCTCGTACCCCACACACCGCGCACCCCAACCACGGCACGATGAGCGTCGTTCTCAGCGAGGGTTCCCTGGCACGACCCCTAGGCCACGTTGCAACGTCGAGTTTTTTCCGTGTTTTTTTTTTGTTCCGTGAAGACCACGAAGCGTCTGACGTATTTATGTACCAATCGAGATAGGGTGATGCACGTGGGGAGCCATAGCATCGCGGTCAGCGCTGCGCTACGAACCCGGCGGTCCGAGTTCGATTGCCTCTCACGGCCAACACCGGTGACGATTATGTGAACCGGTCACGGGCCTTCCCTAGGTCGACGCAACCTCAAATGAGGATCTGGTGCAATGTGTAAACATCGCCAGTGGGAATGCTATAATTGGAGCCGGAACTAGATTATATGAAACGCATCAGTTTTACACCGAAATGTTTTGGTCATTTTTCCAGACCTCATGCGTAGGTGCCACACACATTGTGCACGTTCATGATGGTTTTGTGCGATGGGGACTGTTTGTGTGACTGAGGAACCAAACCTCTTCTTGTAAATCACGATCTGCTCCTCGATTAAACCCTCGTACGCTCCATCAGTCCCCGCCTCAGTCAACTCGATCAGCGGCAGCAAACCAAAACTGAAAACACGTGGACACGTGATTTACAACCACAACAAAAAAACATGACCGTGAACCATTCAATGTCCTGAAAACGTGAAGGGAGGAAATGCATTCTCCCAAATTACATTCACATTCTGCTATCAGTGGCATTACAATTAGATGCATTATTTATAAAGAATTACACGCACCCTGCACGCACCCCGCACGCACCCTGCATGGATCGTGCATGGATCCCCCACGCACCCTGCACGCACCCTGCACGCCCCCGCACGCACCCTGCACGCACACTGCACGCACCCCGCACGCACCCCGCACGCACCCTGCATGGATCCCCCACGCACCCTGCACGCACCCCCCACGCACCCTGCACGCATCCCGCACGCACCTGCGCAGGGAGCAGCGCAGGTAGTTGTAGTTGTTGATGAGGAAGACGGCGCCGAGGGCGGAGTCCTCGTACACGTGCGCCATGCCCGCCAGGGCGCGCTCCACGCGGCTGCGCACCGAGCCTGGGGACACGCGGCAGGCAAACGGCACGGGTGAGGGGGGGGGGGCACCGGGGGTCAAATGGGCACCGGGGGTCAAACGGACACCGTCGGATGCTGAGAACATTTTTTGCTTAATTTCAATTTTTTAAAGTTTCCAATCTCAAGTTGGTTTTGTGTAACGGGGTGAGGAGTGAAGAGGCCGGGATGGAGTCGGAACTCGCCGGAGCGATCTGGGGGATCGCCAACATGGCAAGAGCAAAAACAAGCGAAGTGCTGTTGGAGCAATGAGCAAATATAGATCGGGGTAGCAAGAACATCAGATAACCCTGCTGCACCTCCGATGTGCACGGCCGTCAACGTACGGTGCGAAGGAAGTTGAACATGCATACAAGTCGGCTCGGACATATTCTTCCAATGACGTTACAAACGCGCATCGGGTGACCGACCATGGGTGCTGAGCGCAGGTGTTGTCGTGGGGTTGTGTGCTCTGAGAGCGACTCACAAATGTAGGCGCTTAGGCAGATGTTCTCCTTTTCAGCGGCGCCGACATTCTTCTCCAAGCTTGAGTCTGCACGCAACAACAACAACCACAACAAAATATGTCGCGCAGAAGTCGAAACAACAATCGCGGCCACGCGACCCTTCCTCTTGACGTCACAAAGCCGAGACAACGTATCCACAACCCAACGTTCAATTGCAACGCGCAGTCATGTAAAAAGCGTATGTCGCGGTCAAAATTATTGTTATTCTGAGCCATAAGTCCAAAGTGCTTCACTGCTCACTCGAGCTTGGGGTCGCTTTCATCTCCCGTTCACAGCTCCCATGGTGGACAACTCCACGACGCCGTGGTGGAGGTCAAATCTCTCCCATGGGACAGCCATCCGTTGACTCCCCAACAAAAGTCGCATTTACATTTTGAGTTGGCTACGGTGCAGGTGAGGACGGTGCAACCCTGAATGTGCTGCCCGCGACCCTGCTTGTGGAAGGGGCTCTCGAGAGAGGCCCCCCTCTGGAAGGTATTTTGACCGACTTTGCCATGTTGGTCACATGCCTCGGAAGTGATGGTGGGGGGGGAGGTACCCACACTTTACCCCACCACACACTGAACCTGACAATCGACTAACTCTGTCCGCCCAACAGTATAAACGAACACCGTGGTAGCGAGATGTTAACTACCTCGCCTGGTATGCAGGGGCTCGTGGGTTCGATCCCGACCCTGACGCCTGTTGCTGTATATTTGGAGTTTGTGTGTGTCTCTCTCTCACCATCATCACAGTGGTGAGATGTTAACTACCTCGCCTGGTATGCAGGGGCTCGTGGGTTCGATCCCGACCCTGACGCCTGCTGCTGCTGCTGTATATTTGGAGTTTGTGTGTCTCTCTCCCTGTGGCCGTGTGGATTTTTCTCCGGATCTTCCGGTTTTCTCGCTGCACATTTAGGGACATGCATTTAGAGTATTTGGCTGCTTTCAATTTGCACGTGATGAGCCACTTCGTTGCGCTATCATTTGTGGCCAGGTCGCTTATGAAAAAGGGCAACATAGCTCAGTGAGCCTTACTTGGTAACATAAAAAAAATGTTTACTCTTCTCCTTCCACGCGTTTATCCCACTCATGTGGGGTGTTCCGCTGTCCTTGCCAAACTTCTCCACGCTGCCCTGTCCTGTGCCATCTCTCTTTTCTGCTCCTCGAGCCACCGTGGTCCGATCGCCCCACATCGCCCCCCTCCCCCCCCCCCACCACCTCTTCTGCCTTCCTCTTCATCTCTTTCCTTCCACTTGCATCACTCCCTCTTTCTTGTGCCAGAGCACTCGGCCCCATACAACAACACCAGCCTCACCACCGTCTTGTATTCGACACTACACTATACACTACACACTTTTCCCTTCAACAAAAACTGGGGCTCCCTTATCGCCACCCCACATCAGTCATCTCTCGTCGTGATCCACCAGCACCACGTCGTTGCACCCAGGTACTTTAAACTCGTTCGTCTTCGTTTACTGGTCACTTCCAATTTGCAATCCTCCTCCTGAATTATTTACACTCAAATTTGCCACCATACGCTCAGTCTTTGTCCGACTGATCCTCAACCCATTCCCTTCAATCTTGTGCACCCAGACCTTCAAACCATCTTCCACTACCCCTCTGCTTTCACCGCATTGCACAACGTCGTCTGCAGACAGCAGCATACACCAGGGTGGCTCCCTCTGAATATCTCTCGTAAGTCTGTCCAGCACCAGGATGAAAAGGATGGGGATCAGGGCGTTTTAATAAAAAAGAGGAGAGTGAATTTTAATAAACGTGCCCATTGTTTAAACTGTTGCTGCTGCTGCTGCTGGCGATGGGAGATTGAACTGGTGACGGAGGGATTGCATTGTGCAACCAGCACGTTAGTAAAGCAGCTCAAATACTCAACACTTTGCTCTGGCAAATTAAATTGTCACTAAAATTGCTGGCATGACGTCCGATTGCTTCTAGCCTTTAATTATTGAGTTTTTTGGGGGGGGTAGTTTAACAAACGCAATCTGTTTATTAAAATGCAACGAAGACGGAACGGCAAATTAAAATTAAATTATCGAAGGATAAAAAAAACACATTGACTCGTGTGCCTAAGTAGTTTGAGAGTTAATTTTGATCTCTAAAATTGAGCTCAGCTGCCTCTCACACACCAGGAATATGACTCGGGGTACCCTGGCCGGCAATTCGAAACCGCACCGGTATTTGGGACTCGTGCCATTTACAAGCCGTGCTCTTTCAAACTTGATTGCGTTGTTATCCAGCCAATGGTTATCTCTCCGATGGCGGTGATTTTAATTGCAGGCGTGCGGGGTGTACTCGCGGGTTAAGGCGGTCACCGCATCGCATGGCGCTTTCAGACGCGCTTCTGCGGCCGTCTGGAACGTTCTTCCTTCCGACATTAGGAAGCCACTGGAACTATGCACTTTTAAGTCATCATCTAGATTGAAAACTCATTTCTTAAACAAACAGCTTTTTGTTTTTAGTTTGCTGTCCTTCCCCCGCACCACCAATTAACACGGCTCAACATGCATACGTACGTTGGTAGCCCTGGGAACTGAGGATGCCTCCGGCTATCTCTTGGAAGTCCAGGACTTCTCGTAGGAACAGTATGACCTGTGAGAGATAATAGGGCAAAGGCATTTCATCTGGCCACACAGATTACACTAACCAGACTGAGTGATTTTTCGATTCTCTCTTATTGCCAAGGCCAAACACAATAGTTTTCGAGCGGCGTTAGGAACACATTTGCCGGGAAATGATGAGAAGGAAAACTGAAAAACAAGCAGATGAACACATATGCCCTTGCAGACATTGAAACAAACACATTGCATGGGGAGGCATTACAGTGTATAGCTTCAGCAGAGTGTCTCTCCTTACTACAGGTAGCCTGTGGTCTAAGCCGTGGCAAACAGCCATTGGGTGCCCAGCCTCAGCGTAAATGGTGACCCAGCCAAGCAAAGCCATTTTGCGTCACTTGAAAGTAATTCTCCGGTAATAACCTTGCCATTTGCTGCCAATTGATATCCTTCATGTAACTCGTGCGTATCAGCGTCGCCCGTTGCACGCTCGCTTCCTGGACGTGTTCCTCACCTGTGTTGTAAACGTCCCCGTTCTGGGCTCACACAATCCCTGGGCCGCTTGCCGTGTGGTGCCCTGGGCAGAGGCCCGCATCGCCCACCCCTAGGGCTGGGTCTACAGGCATGGGACCTGCACTGCCTCATGCGTTGTAGTATAAATTACTTCATAACAATTGTTTTTGTAACAATTGACTACACGGGCTAGCTATGCTTTTGCTCTGCATAGCAAACTTAATTGTAGATCGAAAACTCAGTTCTTAAAGAACTTATTTTTCTGTTTAGTTTGCTGTCCTTCCCCCGCACCTCCGACTAGCACGGTTAGCTATGTACGGTGAAGAAACAAGTTCAACACACGTACACGTACAAGCTGAATCACGTAATGCACAGAATGAAACAAGCGTGAATTTGTCTTCATGAATTGTGCTGGTTGAACTTACGACGGAGGAAAGCTCGTGCACTGTGCCATCCTTGGGAACCGTGTAATCCTTCCCAGAGCCACTCTGCAAGCAACACGTGACCAAGCTGCAACGTGCACACGACTTTGTGTGTGTGCACGCGACGGGCACTGCAAGATCCCACCGTGCCCGTCCCGTGCTCGCCGAGCTGCAGTGGCTTCCGGTTGCCGAACGAACACATTAGTACGAGGTCGCACTCAATACACACAAAGTTATTGCCACAAATGAATCACAAAACCTTGCTGATCTCAAGGAGCATAAACCATCACGCGAACTCCGGTAATCCTTAAAAAACAGCGGCTGGCCATGGAACAAAGGCGGTCACCGCATCGTGCGCTTTCAGATGCGCGTCTGGAACGCTCTTCCTTCCTATGTAAGGAGGCAACTGGAGCTATGCACTTTTAAATAATGTCCTTCCCCCGCACCTCCGATGAGCACGGTTGGCCACGTACGGTTGTGCTAAAGAAGTTCAACGTACACACGTGCATACAACACATTTGAGCATTCCACTTTCTGATTGCTTACCCAGGAAGGCTTCACTGTCTCAATACTCTTTTTCAGGAGGGTCCTGCCAAGTTTTTCGTAGTAGGGGGTAATGCCGCTGGCATGACATGCCGTATGAGTTATTTGCAGGTAATGTTTCAGTATCGCGATGTTTGGCCGATACCAGCTGCATTCTATGGTTGTTGTTGTTTTTTTGTTACTTTACTGCGGGAGGAAAGTGGAGAAGCCAGAGGAAGCCCATGCAGAACAGGGGAGAGAAGACAAACTCCAGACAGGAAGGTGCCGGAGTCCGGGAGTCGAACCCAGGGACCTTCTTGCTGAGACACGAGAGTGTCACCACAACGCCACCACCACCCTGCAGCTCTATCCAAAATTACTCAACAAACATCTCACATATTGTACGTGTGTATATATACAGAATATATATATAGAATATATGTTCCCAATTATCAGATGAATCCAAAACATTTATAAATCGAGCCTGGGTTATCTGAAATTTGTTTTTAGAAAGTATGACGTGACAGAAAATTACGTCACATATTCCATAGCTTTCGTGTTTTTTGTTGTTGCCAAAAGTTGCTTCACGAGGCATCAGGTAATGTCACCTTTGTTAGCACGAAGACACGTTTAATTAAAGCGCAATATCAATCTCCTGAGGATCCAATAAAATCCGATTGTGTCCTTAAAGAAAAAATCTGAAAAACTGAAACCCGAAATTTTCAAAACCAAAACGAGTCCCTATGTATACACTCTATTGGCGAACTGCCTCTGTGATTCGTGTTGCACCGTTACCTTTATGTACGAAGTGAATCCATCGAGCAGACCGAATCCAGCAGCCTCCATGTTGCTAATGAGCAACGGAACTCTCTCTTTGATGGCCGAGGACGTGATCTAATCGAGAACAGTGGGAAAAATCACCCCACGGCATTATTCCCATTCATGCAGCAGGCGGTTGACGCATGCAGCCCTGCCGTTGCTTATTTATAGCAAATGCTGGTGGAAGGGCCTCCAATACACGGTGCTCTAAGAAAGCATCTGTCGAGGGTGTATTTGGCCTACCCCTCCACGCTCGCCAGATGTCTTGGAAAAGGTGGGAGCACTCCCACTGGACATCGCCACGCGTGCGCTATCAGAGTCAGAATCTTTCCTGAAAAAATCCGATGAGCTATGAAGCTCTTTTTTTCACAGATGCCCGATAAAAATTAAATGTGGTGTGCCCACGTATACTTCTGGGTGGACAGAGGTATGGAAGGGAAGTTTAATAAACATATCCGTCCAACGCGTACGCTTTCGCAGACCAATATTATCCATACGAGTTTTTTTGGGTTAGATTGCAAAAGTGGCGGTTTAAAAAAAAACGCCACTTTTTTCAAATTTTTCTTGCTGTGGTTTTCACACCTGATGATGATTGCTTGTGTTGCAGTCGAAACGTCGTGAGAATTTTATTGTTTTATATTTTTATGCTTTTATTGTTTCCCTTCTACGTGACTTTACCGAAAGAACCAAGAATATGAATCCAAGCAGTCACGAAAGCTTTAAATCAAAATTAATGTGTCGTTAAACCCGCCACCGCCACCCGACACAGCCAATTAGTAAGGTTTGTCACGTAAACAAAAGTGACAATTAGCACACCAGTGTGTTTGGAGAGTAAACCGACGACATTTACAATTCGAGAACGCGTGGCTTTTCGAGCGGTATTACAACAACCAGCATCATCCGGCGACAGTGCTCAATGCAAGCGCAACTCGAGCCCCCGCGTACAACGCGGTGCTTGTGACGCGGGCATCCTGGGTGAGAGATAGCGCGGGTGCGTGCGCATTTATTGACTTGCTTACGAGTATGAAGCTGACAGACGATCGCTCACGGGCGGCAAGCCACGGCCGCCGGGCCCTCACGCACTCACCTGCAGGACGATGTTGAAACCGCGCTGGCAGCTCCTCAGGCGGCGGATGACGGCGAAGAGCGGGGAGATGACAAAGAAGTTCCTCCTCTCTGCCGCTCGCTTGGCAGACGAAGCAACCTTCTCCCCGTCAGTTATCAGCTTGTCCATCGCATCCTTGGTCGGAGAGGGCATCGTGAGCGGTGGCACTGCCGGCGGTGGCCAGGGGGGGCCACCCAAGGTTCTGATACCGTCGCCTCTCACGGGGGAGTTATGGCCTCGCATCTTATCACCGCAGCGGAGCCACGCGCTGGGAAGATTGGCGACTTTTTTGTGGTAGCTGAAGCTCTTGATGCGATGTCGTTTTCGTTCGTGGGGAAATGCGCGACGCTTTTCTTTGCTAATGCGCCACGTTTCTGTTGGGGAATTTTCGCGTAAACTTTTTTTTGCCACGTGCTGTATTTAGAGGCATTTTTGCGCTCGTAATGTTCACAAAGTCTTTGAAAAAATAATAGAAAATGAAATAGGTTTAAGCGTGATTCACAACAGAGCAGTCATAAAGCAGCAGGGTATCTCCAACGTGTCCCCGTGCAATTCACATCGGATTCTTTGTGGGGGGGGAAATAAAAAACAGCATCTCTGTGAATTATTCGATACCAGAAGGCCATGTGTGGTGGGGTAAATGCCACACATTACGTGAAACAGGATGCTAAATACCCTCTAGAGGTGGCTTAGAGGGCACCCCCCCCCCCTTACTGCTGTTGGACATTACCTGAGAAAACCTAACACTGGTGACACGGCCAATATATAACGTCCCTGGGATGACATCCGCCTTACCCATAGGAGCTTCTCGAAAGCTGTCGCGTGGTGATGAGTGGGTAGGATTTGTTCCAGCAGGTGAAACTCGCTCATCGCCAGCTTCAGGAAGCCAGGGATGCACGGCAGGTAAAGCTGTGCGTCCAACTCTAGGCTGTCTTCCATAGCTGATCGAAACACAGGGACACTGCTGCTCAACGCGATTTGTCAATAAAATGAATAAAACAACAATTTCACGTGGCATCTCTCCTGCGGAAATGGCCATTTCTGCATTAGTCATCTCAACTGGGAACCCTCGAGCTAGTGGTGGAAATTCCACATTCCAATGACAGGAGCCAGCTTCTCCACAGGATTACCACTGTTGGCCTCCCACAGAGCGGTACCCATTTTAACTACCCCCTGAAGGATGATAGGTGTACATGACCCTCAAATGATATGTCTATATATACGGGACATCTTTGAAAAAGAGCTTCATAGCTCATCGGATTCCTCGAGTCGAAATAAAGATTCTGATATTAAAAAAGATAACGTGTGTTTGCACATGCATATGTACTTTATCTTATACAAGCACTACGCGTGGGCACGTGTACATAAAGTATGTATTAAAACAAAAACCAATAACAAATCACCTTCAATGGAAGTTACATCACTGATGCTCTTCCGACGATCAGACTTGGATAATGACTGCAAGCGTTGCACACTAGGGGGCACAATCATAGAGCCTGGGGAGGAGGGGAAGAAAAACATTTTCAATAAAATGTCCTCCTTCAAAAAATGAAATCTCACAAATATAGAGAGAACACACGTATATATTTATATATTTATATTTCAAACCAAGCCGACAGAACCGCAATCAAAAAGGGTTGGACGCGTCCGGTCGAGACGAACGCCTCTCGAGAAGAACCCCGTCGCAATCGAAGGCTGGAAAGAGAAGCGGAGGACAGAGGGAAGAGAAGTAAGAAATTGATGTGCGGCAAGCACAACCGTGGGTTACAAGAGCTGGAGTTGGCCACGGGTCAGCGTCAGCGCGACGTGGGGGTGCCCGCACCTTGCGGTGGGCGACAGCCGGCGAGCGCGGCCCTGTGAGCGGGGACCCTGTGAGACACTCCAGTATGGGTGCTTTGTGTATCGCGCTCAGCCGATGCTCTTAAAAGTTATCAGATTTGTGAGTTTCCCAGTGTCACCAAGTGAAAGAGCCTTAAGGGCATAAAAGGCAATTCGCAACAAGGTGCACAAGGGAAGTCGACATTTGTTGGTGGACAACTTCGCCAGTGGGTACGTGCGACTACAGAAATGGGCACGCAGGTGTCCCTCATCACTCATTCTCCAGAAGACGGTCCATAAGACCTGGTCCATAAGACCTGATCCTCAAGAAATTGTTCTTAAGATCTGGTCCTCACGTTCTGGTCCACACGACCTGGTACACACGACTTGACCCTCAAAACCTGGTCCTCAACACCTGGTCCTCAAGACCTGATCCACAAGCCCTGGTCCACAAGACCTGATCCACAAGACCTGGTCCTCAAGACCTGGTCCTTGAAACCTGATTCACAAGACCTGGTCCTCAAGACCTGGTCCTCAAGACCTGGTCTTCAAGACCTGGTCCTTGAGACCTGAATCACAAGACCTGATCCACAAGACCTGGTCCTCAAGACCTGGTCCTTGAGATCTGATTCACAAGGCCTGATCCACAAGACCTGGTCCTCAAGACCTGGTCCTTGAGACCTGATTCACAAGACCTGGTCCTCAAGACCTGGTCCTCAAGACCTGGTCCACAAGACCTGGTCCACAAGACCTGGTCCCAGGCAGTGTGGCACAGCCAGGGGTGCTGCCACGCGGTGTCCCTAGCTCCATTCGCATTTCCGCAGCATTCTCATCATCATGATCCGTGAGTGGTAAAATGTCCTCCGTGCGGTTGGAGGCATCGCCACAAAGCAAGAGCCAGCCGGCTACCTCGACTCACCGATCCTCTTGCTGGGTTTGCATGCCGAGGGGAGCGGCGCCGTCAGCGTCCGGGCCGACCTCACGCCGAGCTTCTGGTGGTGCTCGCGGAGTTCCGACATGGAGCGCAGAAGCACCCGGGAACGGATCTGCTGGTAACTCTTCAAAAACTCTGTGACGCCGAGACGAGAAAATATAAATATACATTCACATCGTAGTTGGTGTCCCCACGGTGGACATTCGTCAAACTCATACGTACATCTTAGATTGTATCACCACTTTTAGAGTCACTATCATTATGGACACATAACATGTGGACGATGAATTTCCTAACAAGGTAGATGAAGCTATGTGTTGTTACCTGCCTTTCAAATGGCACAAATTGTCTCTACATCCTCTGACCACTCACTGCCAGACCAATAATCTCTAAACCATCATCATCAGCCATGATCTATCCACTGCTGAATGAAGGCCCGGCCAAGCCATCACCATCCCTCATGGTTTCGCATTGCAAGACCCACTCAAGCTCTTGCACACAAGCTGATTTCATCACTCCATCTCCACCTTGGTCGTAATTTAAGGTATGCTCCCTCTTTTGGAGGTCATCATCCTGTTTAGTGACGTCTCCTTTTCTTAACGGCCAATACGATCTCTACACAAGTTCACAAAACAATGTGATATTACTGATGGAGGGAGACAACTTGGAAACAAATTTAAAAAAATGTTCACCCCTGCTGAACAGGGGATCAAAAATAATGAAATATCCAACCAATCACACACAGACCACTCACAGCCTCACCACTCTCATCTCACAGCGAGCACGCTCACTCAGACCACTGACAGCCAACCCACTCATAAGAAGACCACTCACAAACATAGTCAATATAATGCACATCTGCTTTGTCAAAAAAAAAACTCAACATTATTCTAAAATGCAGGACCACCCACTGCCAAGCTACATGCGAGAGTAGTCCCCGCCTACTCCTGCTTCTGCCGCTTCACACGAAAACGTCGCAGGTTTTTTTTTTGCTGCTCGCAAAGTGGCAGCCCTGCTTCGCCCCGTCTCACCGAGGCTGCCGCTGTGAGTCCCTAGCCAGGAGGCGATGCGCGCGAGCTCGTGCGTGGCCCCCTCCGGGAGGTGCTCCACGCGACGTGCCCCCTCTCCGTCCTCCCGCTGACCTCCGTCTCCCCTCTCCCGCGTCCACCAATCGTCGCCCGCCTGCGCCGCCTCCGCGAGCTCCGCAGTCAATTCGGGGGGCACGGGGTTGCTCCGGCGACTCAGGACGCTGACGAACTCCACCTCGAGGGCGGCGCTCCCTCGCTCCAGGAGGCCTCGCTGCGACGGGCGGCACGGGGCCATCGGCACGGGGAAGACGATGACGCGGCGAGCGACATCTGCGGCAGCGGCGAACGGGCGGCCCTCACGCCACCGCTGCTGGAAGGGGCCTTCGCGAAAGGGAACTCTGGGGAACCCATCTCGAGGGGTACTTTGTCGCCTACTTTTCCACGCCTTTGGGCGAGGTGGCAGTGCCCGAAAATGATCCCCACCGTGCGCGACCTGCCGATCGACTGACCGCGGTGAAGCCATTTATACTTCGGCGTCGACAGAGATGGGGGATTCATTTTTTTTTATCCATTGGAACCTAATAGAGAATGGCTTGACGACCACATCAGAGATTGGTGCCAGAAGGATGTGCAGCGCTACTTGAGCATATTGGCACAAGACCGAGGACGGTGGAAACAAATTATTAAATGTTCAGTGGACACCTCCGGGCCATCTGCCCATGGATGGTCATGATGATGATGATGATCCACTGGTTTGCAAATCTAGTGTGGTAACTATCACAGGACTGCAACACTCTTACGATCTAGTCAACGTAAAAGTGCCTCTCAGCTCGCTCATCTTCTGTTAGCGGCCCTGAACCAGAGATGACAATTACAACATGTACTCGCTTGGTAAGGACGATTCTGTCAATGGTGCAAGCCGATGGCTGTGATAGTTGATATGTCATCGACCTCGGTTGCATGATCGGTTGGTTCGTTCCCCGACCGAGAGTCAGGGCGCTCCCACGATTCATGAACATTCGCATTGTTTAGTCACCACACTCATAAAGTTGGTGATATGAATAAAAAAATATACCAGCCAGAATCATCTCACCAAATGATCCACCAAAATAGTGGGAGCACGGCTAAGTCAAGGTCACCCAGTGCTCAAAGTACCGAATCGTTGGGGCTGCTCTGGTCCAGTCACTTTGTATCAGCCATCATCCATCCAATACGCATATGTTGTACACTGCACAGCAATTGCTTTAATTATGGAATTAATTTAGGACAAAATTAAAATGGTTGTGGGTGCTGTATTTGGGCTTACATTCCTGTGCAGGTTACCGATCGCTCGCTTTGAGGAAGAACACTGCTCCTACCACATTGCGGAACTCAAGTTTGATGCTTGCCCAGTGGTAGCAAGAGTGATGAATGCCGTGTGAAGCGATCACGCGCCCCTCCACCAACCCGCACTGACCAGGGTAGTGAAGTATGGTCAAACAATCCCAGTGACTGACGAGGCATTAGGGAGGCCTTCATCCAGTAGTGGATTGACAAATGTCTGTAACTTGTGTAAAATGTAAATGCTTTTTTTAGCCACTAAAGGTGTAACGGTGCTTACTCCCCAGTGATTTAATTCTCTGTGCGAATTTAGGGTGGTAATTTGATTCGAGATTACATTTTTTGTTTACATTGAGGCCGCAGGGTTGATATTAACTTATAACACACACACACAGCATACGTCAACATACTAACATCTAAATAACATTGAATATCACGTGATTCGACGCATGCATTGTGAACTCCATTGTCAACGAAAATCCCAAAAATTTAACTACAGAGATTACACCTCTGCTAACAATGAAGACAATTATTAAAATAAAATAAGACAATTATTAAAATAAAATAAGACAATTATTAAAATAAAATAAGAAAATTATTAAAATAAAATAAGACAATTATTAAAATAAAATCATTATTTTAACAGTAGTAGTTTGAGAAGTCGCAATCCCGTGTGCTGCCGTTTAAAAAAGAAGTGAAACCTTTACGGCGTGGTAAAGTTTTATGTGTTGAAACCCACACGGTCAACTCACATGTATCTACATCAACTATGTTGACGCCAATGTATTTATAAATATATTAAATATAAGGATGTGAATATATTCTATATTTATATACTTTAAATGTATACATTATAAATTCTCAATAGCATATATTTATATATAAGATTAATACAAATACATCTCACATATAAATACATAAAGTGTGCATATTTTTTGTTTTATATATATGAATTATGTTTTAAAAAATTGTATATATAAATATATAGATAAATGATGGCGCCGCGATCTGCGAAGCGCGTCTCACCACTTGGTTGAGCTCCACACTGCCGGGGTGGCTGACGGAGAAGAACCGCGCGGCTCCATGGAGCCGCTCCAGCACGGCCAGGAACTCCTCCAGGCGGGCCGCGGCTCTGCCAGGGGACGCGCGAGCGTCTCAAGGCGCGCCCGACTCGCACGCTTCGGGCGAGTCGGGCTCCGTGCGCTCGACAGTGCCGCCAGTGACGGCGCGAGGCGCAAGGCGAACCGAGCAAAGCCTCTGGGGCCATCGAGCGGCTTGGGGTGCCCCGGGTCAATGAATACAAAAAAGGCGACCGGCGGCTCAAATGTAATATACTCACAGACATTACAAGCCAATGGATCACTCTCATCTCTGTCTTGTCTACAACCCTCTCCTCTCACTGCGCCTATATTGTCAGCACTTATCTTGTGGCACACCATCTACATCTCTTCTCAATACTGCTTCTGTCATCTCACTGGAATTGTATGAACTGAAAGTGAGGCCCTCCCCAATGGATATTAACTACCTCGCCTGGTATACAGGAGGTGGTGGGTTCGATCCCGACACTGACGCCTGCTGCTGTAAATCTGGAGTTTGCGTTCCTCTCTCCCCGTGGTCGCGTGGATTTTTTCTCGCGGTCCTCCGGGTTTTCCCTCCACATTTAGACTAACACGGTTGGCTACGTACGGTGCGAAAAAAAGCTCCACATGCATACACTTCATAGGGCTATCATTTGTGACCAGGTTTTTTCTAAAAGAAGAACTAATAGCTCAGTGGGTCTTACCTGGTAAAAACATTAACGAAAAGTTTAGTCTTATAGTTTAGTTTATAGTTTAAGTACAGGAAGCTGCTATATATCGGACACGTGACCAGCTAGGAGTGATGGGTGGCGATGGGGGAACACTCAGAGGGAGACCGCGATCTGTAGGGAGATGGAAGCGACCGCGATCAGATGTCACGTGGTGACGAGTCGAGCGAGGTTGAGAGACCACCACGAGGAGATGTCGGCGAAGGAAACGGTGACGCCCCCCACGGTGATGCCCCCCACGGTGATGCCCCCCACAGTGATGCCCCCCACGGTGATGCCCCCCCACGATGATGCCCCCCCACGGTGACGCCCCCCACGGTGGTGCCCCCCACGGTGATGCCCCCCACGGTGACGCCCCCCACGGTGATGCCCCCACGGTGATGCCCCCCACGGTGATGCCCCCCCACGATGATGCCCCCCCACGATGATGCCCCCCACGGTGATGCCCCCAATGGTTGAATATCTCAAAGGGCTAGAAGAGGAACGTGTCATCGGCAAGATGGCGATGCTGTACACCCAGATCAAGCGACACCCCGGTTTACGTCAGGGGGGATGCGTTGCTGAAAGGTGCGAAGACGAATACCAAAACGTCGATCACAGCGGTTTACAGGGTGGTGGGTGGTGGTGGGTGGTGGTGGTGGGTGGTGGTGGGTGGTGGTGGGTGGTGGGTGGTGGTGGGTGGTGGGTAGTGGTGGGTGGTGGGTGGTGGGTGGTGGTGGGTGGTGGTGGGTGGTGGTGGGTGGTGGGTGGAAGTGTGTGGTGGTGGTGGTGGGTGGTGGGTGGTGGTGGTGGAGGCTGAGAGGCGACGGATAACGAGAAGGGACAGACGATGCCGTCAGCGACGTGAGTGTAGGGTTGATGCGACGCACATCAGGTAGTGGCGTTGATCATTATAAAGTGACGACGACGTATTTCCGTAACGACGTAAAAGGGGGGGGGAGACGTAAATCTGGAGTGTTGCTGTATCGAGCTGAGCAGCACGCAGTTCCACATGGCCCCTTTGTCAATGTGATGCTCCATATCGCGTTTGAGGGCTTGCCACCGGACGGTTAGTGGCAGGGACGTGGGGGCCGCGTGCTGCCGTTCAGGTGTCTCAGGTTCACACGGCAGAGCAAAGTGCAGCGTTCGTGCTGTCGACGCGGCTGTTAGGGGAGCGCTATTCGTGGACGAACAGTCTGGGCACTTCCAATGCAATAGCTGGCGGTTTCGCTTGTGCATCTCCGATCGTCTTATAATATCACAAAGGGGAAATAAATGGAGAGACGGCTGAAAATCATTACAATTATTTTGAGACTGCAGCGTAAAGCGATGGGTTTCAGTCCAGCCTTACAATAATAATAATAATAATGTCATGTTCTCATTCAATAAATAACAAAACAACTCCTGCCTTGTTAACACGCAGTACGCATACACCCGCAACTCCAAATGGGCTCCAGTTTAAGTGGCCTCGCTTAATTTTTTTGTTGGCGGCACTAAAGCTCCCCTTGCTCGTGCGCTGTGTGCTTTCAAACACCAATTTCATATTCCTCGCCGCATTTAGACGCGAAAGCCAAGCACTCTCTCCCGTACCGGGAGCCCCGAGCACCTGCAGGGCGATTCGCTGCCGCGCCCAACAATTTCACAGCCCTGCCACGGACGTGTGACGCATTCCTAGTCGAAAGTCGCAAAACGTTTCTCTCTCGCATGGCAAACGATGTCGCCCTGGGTACATTGGGTTCCCGTAACTGGAGCCCGCACCGACAACAACAACAAAGAACGAGGCCACCCTGACACAAGCACACGCGTGCCACGAGAACGTGGCCCATTAAAGTAATTTCCACTCGGGGTGGGGGGGGGAGCAAATTGGACGCGCAAATTAACGGATGGCATACCCCTCCTTAATGAATTGCTGGGTCTCTCTGGCCACGTGGTAGTGTGCGATTATGTGGTCGATGGAGGACAGGGTCATCTCGGTCGCTTTCTGGAGCTGCTTCAGCGCCTCGGTCTCCCGGTAGACGGGCATGATGGCATCCTCCAGCTTCAGCAGGCGCCTCTCGAACGACTCCACAACGTTCACCTGCGAAGGTCACGGAAGGTCACGGAAGGTCCGGGGCTAATCGTCGTGCACCCGGTGCCACGGGTGAACGCGTAAAGGTCATCCCCAGTCGAAGGGGGCACGTTCGGAATACAAAAACAGTCCACGCTTACCAGGGCCAGGCGTGTGGACCTCATTTATAGCAATCTCATCGATCTGCAGGCTGTGGTCAATGGAGTTAAAATACGTCCATCGAACGTGATGCTGTCCAGCCACTTATGGGGGCGGGGTTGGCGGAGTGCATTATTGTAATTGGCCACACCTGGCAAAGTAACATGAATATCATTACAGAGCCGAGTGGAGTCTAGACGCAACTCCAGTCGGTCTTGCATGTCATGTGAAAATACCCCCACACTCGCTTGCAGGCACGCCAATGCCTGTCTGAATACACAAATGCGTCACGAGTGTCCGCAATGTGTACACACGATCCGGCAAACAGGCGTGCGTTCGTTGTAGGTTGTGTCATGGGGCAATAGTCACAGATTGTGTCATGTGGCAATAATCACAGATAGTGTCATGTGGCAATAGTCACAGATTGTGTCATGCGGCAATAGTCATAGATTGTGTCATGTGGCAATAGTCACAGATTGTGTCATGTGGCAATAGTCACAGATTGTGTCATGTGGCAATAGTCACAGATTGTGTCATGTGGCAATAGTCACAGATTATGTCATGCGGCAATAGTCATAGATTGTGTCATGGGGCAATAGTCACAGATTGTGTCATGCGGCAATAGTCACAGATTGTGTCATGTGGCAATAGTCATAGATTGTGTCATGGGGCAATAGTCATAGATTGTGTCATGGGGCAATAGTCACAGATTGTGTCATGTGGCAATAGTCATAGATTGTGTCATGTGGCAATAGTCATAGATTGTGTCATGTGGCAATAGTCACAGATTGTGTCATGTGGCAATAGTCACAGATTGTGTCATGGGGCAATAGTCACAGGCAAACAGATAGCGCGGGTAATGCCGAACTGCGGCCGCACACAGGCAGAGGGAAGCGGGGCTTGTGTGTGTCGATCTGTAGTCTCACACCACGAGCTCGAGGAAGCTGCATTTGCCTGCCATTGAATGGTGGACGCTAAGCGGTCGTTGAGCATGAATGGTCGCGTTTGAATGGGCGACACGAGGGCTTGCCGGGTGCTGTAGGTGGCCATCAGAGCACAGAGTGATCTCTCTCACCCCCCCATCCTCCCCCTCCCATGTAGGAACTCCAGACAGACTGTTACAGGATTTATTGAATGGCATTTTAATGAACGTGTATACTTAACAAAAATTAGAGATATATCATACATTATACTGTATAAGGATGTTAAAAATGTCACGGGTAGACAAGATGAGTAGCATGAATGTGTTATGGATAGCAGGCACGACAAGAAGATTGATGATAATAATTGGAGAGGGGGAAGTTGGGTTTCTTGGACATGCAATGAGAAAACAGGAGACTGAAACAAGAGACTGAATGTCAATGTGAATTTGACTTCGAACATTACAGGCAGCACAAGAAGCCGGGGAGGACAGTGAATTAAGTTCGTAATCAGTTTGAACAATTGCATGCAACTGGGAGGATCTGATGCACAGTTGCTGAGTAAATATCAAGGACGCGGCACAGAGAGAGAGATAGACACTGTTGTTTAGTACGGGGTGTATTTACAGTCTTGTCATTTGAGTCTCTAAACAACGATTTATATTTAGATATATATTTTAAACGGATTCAATCGCATGCACTTACCATGTGGTCGGTGAGCTGGTCATTCTTTCTCAAGTTTTCCAACAACCACTCCAATTCGCTCTCGTCCTGCGCAGACAAAAGTCCAAACAGTCACCAGGGGTCCTGTGCCCGTGAAGCGCCACGGTGGCTAGGAGATGTTAACTACATCGCCTGCTATACGGGAGCGCGTGGGTTCGATCCCGACCCTGGCGCCTGTTTGCGTGTCTCTCTCTCTCCGTGGTCGCGCGGATTTTTCTCCGGGTTCTCCGGTTTTTCCCTCCACATTCAGAAACACGCTTTTAGAGAATTGGCCGCTGTACATTTCCACGCGATAAGCCACTTCGATGAGCTATCGTTTGTGGCCAGGTCGCTTCTGAATAATAGCTATGCTGTATAGCTCTGTAGAGCCTTACCTGCTAAAATTATAAATAGTTTTATAGAAGCGACGTACATCTTAGGCAACAGGAGGATATATCACAGCGTCAACGCAAGGTCGACAGAATCGGACACCTTCTCAATTTCCCCGTCTATGTCGATCATTCTTCTCCGCAACCTGCTGGTCCCGTGGTCCATCTTGCACACCTGTGATGTTAAACACGCTTTGTGTGTGCGTTACCCCGATTCTTAGCGCAAAGGTAAGGAAAACACAATTAATGTATAACCCCCCGGATTTGTCATTAACTACAACAGCTGAGTGGGTCTGCACAATTGTTTACAGTGTCACTTCGCTTAACGTGGCCCACGAGACATCAGTCACGTGGTCTGTGCCCCGGGTTCATCCGAGATGCCCTGTCTCTGTAGCGCATCGTGTTCAGCATTCGCAGTTTTACCCAAATGGACACCAAATGTTACATGGTGCCACGGTGTATAGGATATGTTAGCTCCCTTGCCTGGTGTGGAGGAGGTCGTGGGTTGGATCCCGACACTGACGCCTGCTGCTGCTGTATATTTGGAGTTTGCGTGTCTCTCTCTCTCTCTCAGCATCATCACGGTGGCTAGGAGATGTTAACTCCCTCGCCTGGTGAGCAGGAGGACGTGGGTTGGATCCCGACACTGACGCCTGCTGCTGCTGCTGTATATTTGGAGTTTGCGTGTTGGTTCTCCCCCCGACCGCGTGGAATTTTCTCCGGGGGCCCTCCGGGTTTTCCCTCCACATTTAGAATCAACATTACGCGTTTAGAGTAGTTGGCTACTGTAAATGTATACGTGATAAGCCACTTCGTTGAGCTATCATTTTGTGGCCAGGTCGCTTCTGAGAACAAGCCATATAGCTCAGTGGGCTTTTTCTTAAAAATATATATTTTTTAATAGTTTACTGTTGAACATTCCCTTTCTCGCTTAGTCAATGTTTTTTTCCGGGTGTTCTGGTCACCTCCCACAAGCAAAAGTATCCCGAGACTCAATGTAGCTGTCCTGGATAACTAAATTACATCAATTAATTGGCCTTCCCAACAAATATTCTGTCCCGACTCCGGTGCCAGCATGTGCCGACTCAAGTGAGACACTAATAATTGCAATGGAATCACTCATGGCACACTGGATGCTTTCTTCCTGTAATTGCCACACAAAAAATATGAATAAAATAAAGGCTGTCTGGCCGGCCTTATTCAATGGAAATTGAAATTTGCCGAATTATTTTGTATGCTGGTGGCTGGCCTGCGTGTTCTGCATTCGTCCAGTATGGATACTGCCACTTCTTCCAATACGTGTGGCGCACGTGGAAGAGTAGGCCAAATCACCATCTGGAGGGGTTATCTAGAGCTACCTTGTTTTCAAAAAATAATCGGTGGGATTATTTTCAGGTGGTGACTCACAACTACCTTAACAAAAACAATCTACCGTTAAAGTAGACTTGCCAAAGAGTAGTGGTCTGGATATCGCATGTAGTTCGGAGTTAGAGTGGTCTTGTATTTTTTTTTATTGTGGTCGTCGACATGAATTTACGAAGCCAGAACTGTCGCATACCTGTGGCTCAGTGACCAAATTGTTTATGGCTCATCACCAAAGCTGTAAACTCAATGCCAATTTTTTTTATATATCAGAAAATAAAATTCGATCAATCATACTTATTAAAACAATTATAATTTCTGACTTTCACGACAGCTAAAAATGTCCACCTCTTTGCAGTGACCTCTGCTTCCCGTCTCGCTTCTGCCTTCTCTGTCTCTCCCTGGAACCTCGCCCTGCCCCATGCTCGCTCTTCCCGTGGACTCGACAGTAAAGATGCACCTATGTTCAGTTTGGGTCTTGCGGTTTTATTTCGCTACTTTTAAAGGAAGGGCACAGGAAAGGCTGGATATTACGAAATAGCAAAACATATGTATTATTGAAGACTGAGATATATTGGACTCTATCTGGGCACCGTATGGCTAGAAGGTTTTCCAATGTGATTTTGGATTGGACCGAAGCGCTGTTCAGCATCACGTCTTGACGTTTTACTTCACAGGCTGGGAGCTTCTTCTGAACAATTCCAGAAGCTTCCAGCGTGTGGAGCGGAGTGTCGGGCTTAATGCAGAACAATGCACGGTACCCCGTATAAAACGGATCATCAGGGCTACTATACAGACAAATATCATCTGCATAGCCTTTGAAGACTGCATGAGCAAGTGATGTTAGTGAGTAGCCCCTATGAAGGCTAACTGTGAATACAATATTAATGTGGCACTATAATCCAGAAAAATATACGATGAAAGAAAATTAACATTTAAGACATGGGCAAGAATGTTTGCGAAAATGAACACTTAGATAATCTTATTATTCAAACGTATTTTGAGTCACCACGGAATATATATGTATGACTGCTTTGTAATAATTATTTAAAAATGACTAAAATAAAACACCGCGGCCTTGCCGTCTCCCGCTGAGTCACGTCAAGGCGCCGTGTGGTGACTCGAAGCACCCAACTGCCCGGTCCCATCACAACTTGCTGTAGCACACCTGCCCGGTCCCATCAAACCTGTCTGTGGCACACCTGCCCGGTCCCATCACACCTGGTTGTAGCACACCTGCCCGGTCTCATCAAACCTGGCTGTAGCACACCTGCCCGGTCCCATCACAACTTGCTGTAGCACACCTGCCCGGTCTCATCAAACCTGGCTGTAGCACACCTGCCCGGTCCCATCACACCTGGCTGTGGCACACCTGCCCGGTCCCATCACACCTGGTTGTAGCACACCTGCCCGGTCCCATCACACCTGGCTGTGGCACACCTGCCCGGTCCCATCACACCTGGTTGTAGCACACCTGCCCGGTCCCATCACACCTGGCTGTAGCACACCTGCCCGGTCTCATCAAACCTGGCTGTAGCACACCTGCCCGGTCCCATCACAACTTGCTGTAGCACACCTGCCCGGTCTCATCAAACCTGGCTGTAGCACACCTGCCCGGTCCCATCACACCTGGCTGTGGCACACCTGCCCGGTCCCATCACACCTGGTTGTAGCACACCTGCCCGGTCCCATCACACCTGGCTGTGGCACACCTGCCCGGTCCCATCACACCTGGTTGTAGCACACCTGCCCGGTCCCATCACACCTGGCTGTAGCACACCTGCCCGGTCTCATCAAACCTGGCTGTAGCACACCTGCCCGGTCCCATCACACCTTGCTGTAGCACACCTGCCCGGTCTCATCAAACCTGGCTGTAGCACACCTGCCCGGTCCCATCACACCTGGCTGTGGCACACCTGCCCGGTCCCATCACACCTGGTTGTAGCACACCTGCCCGGTCCCATCACACCTGGCTGTAGCACACCTGCCCGGTCCCATCACACCTGGCTGTAGCACACCTGCCCGGTCCCATCACACCTGGCTGTGGCACACCTGCCCGGTCCCATCACACCTGGCTGTAGCACACCTGCCCGGTCCCATCACACCTGGCTGTAGCACACCTTCCTGACTCCATCACACCTGGCTGTGGCGGTTCGAGAGGGACACGGGTCTCTCTGGAGGAACGCCTCGCTGTGAGTGACTGGCCGGTGTGGAGGCCGCTACGACCCCCTTTTTTGCTGGTACCGTAAGTCGTAATTAAAAATAAAAAAGAGCCTCGCTTAGTTCCAGGGTAAACACATTTCATTATGGGAAAGCCTCGGCCACGCAGCGGTGCACAGCGCGAGTCCTGGGACGCTGCCTCTCACACGGATTACTGGAGCGGCAACATTTCCTCTGAAGTGCGCTGCACATGTGGGCGAATCTTGAGCCGCTGGCACACAAACGGCTCGTCGGCATTTATTTTCTTCAATCAGCCTTTGTCTCTCCATCGCAAATCGTTACGACAGCGAGGTTCGGGTGGTAGCGTCCGGGGAGAGGAACATGCTGTGCAGAGAAAGGTGCCGCAAAGTTGCGATGTTTGATGGAAGAGTATCGTCGTTTGGAAGAAAGGGAACGCACGTGATGTGACACATCGATGGAACGCGAAGACAAATAGGAAGAGTTGGGGCAAGAATGTCTTGTCGTCGTGGACACTGCCCATGGGGGACACGAGGAGCATTTGCCACCCGAGGTGATAGCGACAAACGCTCCTGGCTCCATGGGCTGACTCGTAACGGCAGTGTTTGGGATTAAAAAAAAATTCACAATCACCACACGGTGGCATCGTTGTGCGTGAGTGCCGCTGCTGCTGCCGCCGCTGCTGCTGCCGCTGCTGCCACCGCCGCTGCTGCTGCTGCGCGTGCCTCTCTCCGCACGAGGGACGGAGCCGACGTGGGCAGCGTGAAAGAGCAGCTCCCCTTTAATGTTTCGCTCGTGACCTCTGTGACCCCTGTGCACTTCATTGGAGCGCTCCATTCTACAAACATAACAACTCAATAACGCGAGCAACTTCTGCTCCCTGATCAAAAGAACCGGCATTCACACGCACACTCTTATTATTATTATTCTTTTTAACTCTTCAGGCGGGAAAAAAGATAAAATAATAAATAAAGCTTTAAAACTACTAGTAATTTACATGCAAAGTTTCAAATTATGGGGAGGAGCAGCAAAGCAATGGTCCACTGTACTATCAAGCTGGCCACCCGCGTTTGATTCCTGTCCAAGGTCAACACCAGCGGCGAGTATTATCTCGACTCAACAGATATTTCTTCGTGTATAGCATTAAATTCCTGTGCAGGTGAAATCTACTAGATTTTAGTCAGTGTCGTGTCCACGGTGTTTGTATCACTCGTATGCCTCCTGCGTTTGATTCTCGCGACATCTGAACCGGTTCTGGACCCCCCCCCTTCCTTCGCCGACCCGCACTGACCAGCACGGCCAGGCAAAGGTCAGACAACCCACGTGACCGACATAGTGTTGGGGATCCCATCACCCAGCGGCGATACGACGACAGAGGGGGCTGTGCGTCGTAACAACCAAAATTCTCCCGTTGCGCGATGCCCTTCCCTGTAGTATAGCACTGAAGTCCCCCCCCCCCGTCCCCCCCCGCGACAGCTGACGGCTGGGTCATGCAGAGCACGCTCGGAACCACGGCACCTTTACCTGAAGCTCAATTTGACGAAGACGGGCTCCAGTTACAACAGTACCGGCTCGAGATCGAATATCTTCGTGAAAGAGCGATCCAAGGCCCGGGACGCGTTCCCCAAAAAAGCACACACGGGGGGTGGGGGCGGGGGCAATAAACATCTCTGCGCGGTGTATTATTTATTTATTTTACTCACGTAGACGGCTTTACTTTCAGCGGCACTGATTGTTGG